TTGAAGCTTTCTTTTGAGCTGCAACCCCCTACCCCTGTGGGGATGTTAATGCATGCGGCCCTGAAACTCAGCCACTGCTCACAAGTGAATGTCTCCGGAAGTCGGCGACTTAGCTGACAACTCAGTGACCTCTGACTCGAGATCAGGCCACCACATCGACTCCAAGAAACGGATATCAATCAGCTAACCACTCCACTCCTCCGCAACTTAGCGACTCAGCTGACAAGTACCTCTCGATCCAGATCTAGGCAGAAACAGCTCGGCTTCAAAAAGCCGGCATCGATCAGCTGACTACCCGACACCTCTGAAACTCACACTCAGCTGGAAAACTCAGTGCCTAACCCAATTTCCAGGCACTCTACTTCGGCTTTAAAAAGCCGCCGTCGAACACCTAGTAACTCAACACCTCTGGCAGCTAATCAGCTAACCCCCAGCGACCTCTGGCTAGAAAACCGAGCACAAACTTCGGTTTCAAGAAACCGGCACCGAACTCTTGTGTGACTGAATATATGAACACAAACTCTAAATCAGGATAGAGGCCATCGGCCTTAAAGCCGAACTAGAACTCATCCCTTCAACTCGAATGACTACAACGATAGCTACAGAAGAATACATGGTATCCAAATTGAACTGGTATAAGCTAACTTTGCCGGTTACTCTCCTCTAAATGTAACATCATGGCCTACACCGTGCAGAAAAACACCAAGCCTACTGGCTCGATCGTGGCAATAGGAGTAAGTTCTGAACTGCTATAACAATGTGGTGTGGTCTATAAGCAAGAATTTTGCGTTTTTAGAGTTGTGATAAAATTTGGGAGCAGGCCTCCTATACTGCTATGTGGAGAGACCCTGTGGTTGATGAGAAATGATGTGGTGAAAAAAATATCAAATTCGCTGTTCATCTGCCTCCTTGGCATCTAAGTTGGTACCCTAGATTGCTACCCTTTAAGACAGAAACTGAAGGCATCTCTTGGGGACATGTCAAATCACAATCAGCTGGGACCAGATATTTCAGCCATTTATGCACCATATCAGTCACATCGTCATAACCTGCATCGTGCAGCAGATAGATGCGCCTTGATGCATGCCAAGCGGCTCAACTACGACACATACAAGGAAGGATATAATACAAGGAAAAATCTGACTGGCGATAGTCGACACAGAATACAGCAACGACACGCGTTTGGAGTTGTAAACACAACAAGGATGGAATAACTGAGGACCTGACAAAGTTCGCAGGAATAGCAGGCCTCTTACAATTTGAGTCCCATGAGCTTCAAGGCATAAACCCTTAGTCTCTATGAAAAAAAATGCAGCATTGATGATATACTCGCGCGACATCATACACAGTTTAATGACGGATGTGCCAGTCGTGGCAGACAAGAGCAACTTGAATTCTCAACCAACATGCGAGATGCAAAATAGCGTCTTTACTATAAATGCCTCAGTCAAACTGTGCTACTCGGTCGCACAACGCTGAGGAGTAATCGACTGTAATCGTGCTCTGAAGTCCACTTATTGACACTCCAGTGCCTCATTTCGCTCTATCTGATGATGGTGAAACCTCTTCTCCCTCATCATTTAAAAAGTATCAAAGCTATGAATCCGCATGCAAAATCAGATTTCCAGCCTACTTTTCTAGCCACAAAAGCGCAAATGATAATGTTTTCGGAGATACAGCTACTGTATGTAAAAATTGTCTACATTACGCACACTTGACTACTTTCTTTGAACTAATTGGGCTGAGATACCGGCGCCTCAGATGGCTATTCGTTGCGGCCAGTCTATTGCCCATGAACTTCTTTTGAAGAAGGTAATCGCCAAAGCTTTGCTCGTTTCTGCAAGCGTAAGGGTAGGAATTCCTGTTGACAATTTGCAAAAAAACTCAACTGCGTACATAGAAAAAGGAAAATTCTATAAATTGGGACTTACCAAAAAAATGTTGAGAAAAGCTAACAATTTCAGATTGGTTTTTTTTCATATCAAAACCTTTTGTCCAAGCCTCTTTCATCTTCATTTGTCCTATTGGCTTGCGATACAAGATAGAAAACTTATCACTCAAACCAAAAAGTTTGAAAGGGAGTTATAATTTGTTAAAAACGAAGTTTCAGTTAACCCATTGACGACGACGCCTAATTTTGCGCGGCGGCGCTGTGGGACGACGCGATTTTGCACAACACTTTCAGTGTGGGAAGGTTTCGTGCTTATTTACGAAATGCAACATTCTTTTGTAAACAACCATTAACATTTTCTTGGACGACAGAGCCTATAGCTCCTAAGAATACAAAAAATTGGAAAAAATATTCATATGTGGAAAAAATACTAGACCTGCAAATAATACGACTTTGCGAAAGGTGTGGGCCACCGGGGGTCCACATCGTCCCTGGCAGCAAAAAGCGCGTAGGCCACCGGTGGTCCACATCGTCGTCAATAAGTTAAAACTTATTGTTTATCAGTACAAATTTTCCTGCCCGTTTGTGATATGAGTAAAGGTAAATGTGAGCTGTATTGCGAAAGGTTTGCTGCCTTTGATGGTTTTAATCGCATTAAAATTATAGATTTTTTTTAGAAAGTTACAGCACATCAAAGTAACTCGCAAACGCCCCTTAGTTCTGCACCAATCTAATAAAATTTCTGTCATGGTTACGCAAAGTGGGCGTAAAAAAAGTATAGTTGAGTATAAAAGTTCAATATTCGCCCGGATGACACACTATTGCAGTCCAAGGAAGTCAAAACTCGGAGATTTTGCGACTTCCAAAAAAAATATTTTCACATAGCCTGAAAAGAGATTCTCCGAGAAATACGAACTATCGCCTCGGTTGCTTTTAAAAAATCTACTCCAGTGTTGGAAAAAAAAATGCAAAACAGACAATGACACATGGAAAATATCTGCAGTGTTGAAGAGCTGTTCAAAGTGTCAAGTTTTGAATTTAGCTTTCAGGAAGCACACGAAGTCTCAACTTTCGGGTTCGCAGACCACTAGATACCAGATTATAGGGCTGCATTCAGTTCAGATTCAAAGTAAATTGTTTGCTGTATGTTGTTTGTTTGAAGGAGCCTGAAATAAACGATGCCTTCCCACTTCCACACATACGGTAAGAACTTCCGCACATCAGCGCCGTGATGAAGCGAGTGTCAACTCAGAAAAATTCAGAAAGACCGTGAACTTTTGTATTGAGAATCTCTGGACAAGATGATTTTAAATCAGACTTTCAAGGCTATGTCGTAGGCCTGTTATATGGTTTGATCAAATTCTATGGACTATCGATAAAACGACTGTCTGGTGTGCAGTGTGCTTTTTTGAACAAAAAATTATCGTAGAGAGCATTGTCATATTTGGAATTGATGGCTATGTCACACTGTCATATTTGAATTGGAGAATGTCTAAATTCTTACAGCTTCTTCAAAATGACACACCAGTTCCCTTCTCGGTTTTGACTATCAGTCGCACAAAACTCTTCTCAACGATCCTACAGAGGTAACGAATGGCCGGTGACTGGCTTTGTACCGGAAATCCAGCCATGCATTACGGCACCTCCAGCCCATAAAAGTTATCGAGAGTTAATAACGAAGACAGTGATACATTTTGAGACTCCGCATATGAGAAGGATGCACAGCTTCTGCATCATAACGCTGAATATGATCGCATTTCAGATTTTTTGCTGACTTCTATAAAGAGTATGGCTTGCTCTTGTGGAATCGCAGGCTAGTTTGGAGAGCTTCCGAAAACGGCAGAGCATTTTCTCGTCAGGAAAAATCTGGGTCGCGGTCATGCCTTAAACATGGCTCGGCACGAGCTGGCACCAGAGAATTTTCAAAATTAAGTCCCCCTTGATTTTCACTAAGTTTTACGAAGTCCCCTTGACCCTTAACCTAAACGTAAGAAAACCCTAAAAAACGAAACGTCGACTAAAAAAACTTCGCAATTTGTTGACAAAAACTATATCCCCTTTGCTTTTTGTCCCAAAAACAATATCCAGCTTGCCCCGTGCCAGCTGGTGCCAGGCCCTGGCCTTAAACCACGAAAATTTCTTAAGCACAGTGGGTATATCAGTGTGTTAGGCTTCACTCCCCAAAAACACGAGAAAGCAAGCACAGGGCCCGGCAGAGATCGTCTGGAAGCAGGCTCGACTTCGTTTTTGAAGCAAACAACAGAGGGGATATCGTTTTTGACGAGTCGGAACCGAGCACCAAGAATAAGCGCCATTCAGTCGAACACAAGTAATTCGGACAGATTATCACACGATTGACATGCTCTATCGTGCATGGCGAAAACTGCGCGCGATTTGAAAGCAAGGCTCAAATAAACAAATTGCTTGTTTACAGCGCACACAGAAGCATATGACACCAAAATTGAATTGTATGTATAAAAAATTATTTGTGAAAGGATTATGTAAAAAGATTTGGAAACTTATGTGAAGTATACCTTTCCAAAACTAGATCGTTTTAATCGATAAACTAGATCTACAGACGGCCACCAGACGATCTGAGATCGTCTGGAGCATACATTTCTGTTACTTCACATAAGTTTTGGATTTTTCTATCATGAACGGATTCCCCAGTCAAAATTCTATCCCTAAGCATGAAAACATTTTCATATCACTGCCTTTCCTTTGTTTTTTGCCTTGATCTTATCATATATCGCTTTGTTGAATATCACGCTCCAATGCCAAACTCTTGTGCATGCGTAGTATTTGGCTCCAATCTGGATTTTCACTCCTATCTCACGTTTTTTCTTTCAGACTAGTAAATGTTTCTTGTTTTCATCTTCTTCTAAGTAGGTAGTCAAAGGGGACTTCGTAAAACTTCCGAAAGTCAGGGGAGACTTCGTTTTCAGAAACCCTAGAAATCGACTAGTGGGGGGCCCTGAGTAAGCACCATCAGATGACAAAAGAAATCTGTTTCTGCTTACTTTTTGTTTGCCTATACCAATAATGGTTCCATATGAATGAGCTTGCATTCACATTGTGGCAATCGCGCCACTTACCATTAGAAACATACCTGATTTTCTTTCTCACAAATGACCGAAACCTTCGAGAGACTGCTCTCCAGGTCGTCAATCGTCTCATCAAATTCATCGCGGATGACAGCAGACTTTCGACGGACTGGCTTACTATCGTCGATTGTCAACTAAAAACGAGAATTTTTTAGAAACATGCAAATGAAGTCTTGGGGAGATGTTTTTTTTTCGCAATTATTCAAAACATTTTCGCATCTTCAGTGTGCCCTTTGCAACGGTGAAGAATGTTCATGGGAAACCATACCTCTTCCATGCTTTCGCTGAACAGGTCAATGCTGTGCTCTTCCAGCATGCTGCTATTGCTTGTGCTATTCAGTTCTACGGCAGTAGAAACATTTTTCTTGATTTCACGAAGGGCCACTCTAAAGCAGAAATTCACCATACTTATACCTAAAACATCTTGAAATCAGAAGGCACCATCAGGCACCATCAAAGAGATACCCACCCTAATTTCACGCGCATAAGGCGCACTTTTTCGAATTTCCAAGCGAGCCGCTCAGCCGTTTCACTGTATTCCGAAAAGAAATCCTTACATCGCACGATTCTCTCAAGCAACATACAGCACAATAGGGTCCTTTGGTTGTAAAGTCCTTTGGCGTGTCTGGGCTGGTCGATTTTGGAAAAAAATCCCCGCGTCTCATACGCGTGAAATTAGGGTACTTAAATCTGAGATTATGAGCTTTTTATGTGACCGTCTGGAAAAGCTAGAATAAGCTACCGTCCGACAGCTCCTAATAGTCGCTCAGAGACGACCTAGAGACTCAAAGCTCAATTCTCCAATACCTATTAATGCTCAGTGGAATGCTCGTAGAGTTTACAGCTCTGGGAAAGTAAAAAGTTGAAGTTATCGGTCACTGATGCATGATTCAGCCAGTCCCATACATTTCCAAACAAGAAGTTCATGCTTGCGGAGTTGCTTATGTGGAAAGGATATTAGAAGGCCGTGATTTTTCGATAAGTGACATATGTCATGACATTCGCCTTGGAACGCTGATCTCTGAACGGTGTTCATTATCTGCGAAGCGATTCTTTAAAAAACCATTCCTAGCATCTGAAGCGTTTGCACAAGAGTACGAGTAATGTAGACAAACGCCAAAATGGTCGGGCATACTTCACGCGATTTCAGTCGCGACGCGATTTGGCAATTCGCCAGAAGTCCAGATCCAACACTAGCTACCTGCACATGCATAGTGTGTATGACTTACTTGAATTAATGAAATGCCCCATCTTCTGTACATTTAAAATGCGCTTATAGTGAGCTATGGACAGTTAGAATATTGCCAAATCGCATCGCGCTGAAATCGCGTGAGGTATGCCCGGCCTCGAAGGTGTCGAATGATCTTCGGCTAGCGCTGTGGATTATCGCAGAAGTGATGACCGTTTGATCTCGGTCGGTGAAATATTTTTGCGTACGCTTTCAAGCGCTACCTCTTCTCAGAAAGGCGTTCCGCAGATACGAACACAGATTCGAAATCAACTCCAGAGAAGAGCACTCTAGATAACAAATTTCAGGAGGCCTATGTAGTTATCCTTTCCTCGTGAAATACCGCCTCTGATACAATCCATTTTTGCTAGTGGAGCTTTATAGAAGTACGAAAGTAAGAAAATCGACAGGTATGCTATTGTGATGGGATTGACTACCTCTTTGGAACCGCAGAAGCTAAAGACGAACGTCTATATGTTGGCTTCTTCGGCATTTTTGTTGGCGTTACTTCAATGATTGACATGCTTCTGCGAACTTTCGTAGAACGACGTGTTTCTTCTAAACACGAAAAATCACTGCAGGGCAATGTTGCCAGGAAGCCCCTACTTTTCGGCGGTTCCACATCTTTGCCCCTACTTTCCGGCGGTTCCTCATCTTTCTTAGCGGCAGGGCTATTCGATATGATCTGTGAAAGTTGCTCCAAACTGTCCACATTTAATCCCAGCGACCTAATAAAAAAAATTATTAGCCTTGAACATCGAAGACACCAGAACTTGATGACATACCGAAGGTGCTCTTTGACAGCCACTGAGGCTCGCTCTCTCAGCAATTCAGCAGCTTCAACAAGTCGCATACGTGGCTCACCAGACAGCCATTCATTGAGACCATCGGTAGTGTTTTCACTGTATGAAATTTTTTTGAACATGCTTGAAAAATTCGTTCTCTTGACTGTCATTCTTCAAATCATCACTCAGAATTCTTTGCCCGTAGATCAGCTGCACCATTTCCTTATTCACAGTGACGCAATAGATGTACACACCATCCTTGTACGTGACCTTAGAGCCAATTACAGTATCCATAGCAATTACGCGCCACTATCGAACACCACCCGGATACGGTAATTGACACGCGCAACAATGCGAACATACTGTGTTGAATAGTAAACAAAACATTGAGAGAAACATTAGATATCAAATGATAGCACTGATGGCGAAACGTCATTCCATAATATCGCTTGTTATACAAGTCATTCTTGGAGGAATATCCATGTTTATGTTATGCTCCGAATGACCGGAATGTATAAAGGAATGGTGAACTCATATATATGAACTGACTTGGATACGCCGACAATGAAACAGCCCAAAACAGAACAGAAACATGCTCAAAATGATTCGCAGAATTCATCTTCCTTACTTTAAGATGATTTCTGTACTCCCAACTCACAACTACCTACGCTAACGATCATCAGTAGTACATACTTCGGATTCTGGGCGTCAAAACAAACGCCAAATACGGAGGTGGGTCTTCACAGAGCCTGTTTATCGTCTTCTCAAGCTCAAGGAGTTCGCTTCGCATTGAATAAACCTCGTCTACATCAAGATCAATAATAATCCAAAACAAAATTCGAAATGGATGTAGTAGTGCTTGTCGAGCATCTCATGAAGATCTTTTGTTATAATTATTAGGTTGGTTACAGAATAAACAACATACAAATACCTTGCTACAATTTTGCGATAAAATAGCCAAAAAATATTTATAGGTAGGTCAAACCTAATACTGCAAATCCATTCCAACTATGCTACCAAAAGTAAAAGGCAGTCACGTCCTTATATGACCAACCCTCCGAAATACCATTTGATGAAGTCGAAAAAAATCTGGATATCTCACTTTCCTGCACCACTTCTTTAACAGACCTATTCAAATGAATTTGACCATCTCCTTCACTTATTTTTTGTTCTGCCATTTCTACAAACCAATAAAAAGAGTAAATATTAGGTCGTCCCGAAAGTTCTTGCGCACGATTTTCAAAAATTCATAACTTCTGATTCTTCCAGCCGATTTGACTGCTTTTATTTTTCTAAGAAAGAGTAATTCATGCTCTTTACAACTACGTCTTAGCTTTTTACCAATGATTATTTGATGCATAGATAGGAGCGTTGTAAGAAAATTGGTCAAAATTTGGATTTTTCGTGTAAGGTCATAAAAAATCGGAAACTTGCAATTAAAATCGGAGCAGTCGGTATTGTAGGTTTTTCCACCAGCTCTTCCCAACAGTGCAAAGTTTGCGCTGATTGAGCGTCTCTATGAAAAGTTATGATCTCCCTGGAAAATGCCAAAATAAATCAAATTCGCCCTTTTGTATTGCTTGCTCGAAAATCATAACTTTTCATAGAGACGCTCAATCGGCGCAAACTTTGCACTGTTGGAAAGAGCCGGTGGAAAAACCTACGATACCGACTGCTCCGATTTTTATTGCAAGTTTCCGATTTTTTTGTGACCCTACACGAAAAATCCAAATTTTGACCAATTTTCTTACAACGCTGCTATCTATGCAACAGATGACCATTAGTAAGCAGCTAAAATCTTATATATAAAGCTGAATGTCTGTTTGTCTGTATGTCTGTCTGTCTGTATGTATGTGTGTACGTATGTTCCGAATAGAAAATTCCATTTCTGAACCGATCCGGACCAAACTTGGCACACATACACTACGGGCCCCGGCGGGTGTCATAGGCTACTTTTCGTCATCGATCGATATCGATTTTATCGATTTTTATCGATTTTTTTGCTGAGTTCACCTACGGGGCTGGGAGTTGGCATAGGGGGGTAATCGAGCATGGGGATTCCGAATACAATATTGGTTTTCAGGATTATCGATTACTTTTATCGATTTTATCGATTTTTTTGCAAAGTTTGAGCTACGGGGCTGGGAGTTCGCACAGGGGGGTAATCGAGCATGGGGATTCCGAATACAATATTGGTTTTCAGGATTATCGATTACTTTTATCGATTTTATCGATTTTTTTGCAAAGTTTGAGCTACGGGGCTGGGAGTTCGCACAGGGGGGTAATCGAGCATGGGGATTCCGAGATAAAATCGATAAAAGTAATGGACGATCCTGAAAACTAATATTGTGTTCGTAATCTGCATGCTCGATTACCCCCCTGTGCAAACTCCCAGCCCCGCAGGTCAAACTTTACAAAAAATCGATAAAATTGATAAAAGTAATGGACGATCCTGAAAACTAATATTGTGTTCGTAATCAGCATGCTCGATTACCCCCCTGTGCAAACTCCCAGCCCCGCAGGTCAAACTTTACAAAAAAAATCGATAAAATCGATAAAAGTAATGGACGATCCTGAAAACTAATATTGTATTCGGAATCCCCATGCTCACTTCCCCCCCTGTGCCAACTCCTAGCCCTGTAGGTGAACTCTGCAAAAAAATCGATGAAAATCGGTAAAATCGACATCGATCGATAACGAAAAGTGGACTGTGACACCCGCCGGGGCCCGAAGTGTATGTGTGCCAAGTTTGGTCCGGATACGGCGGAGCCGGGTAAGCCAGCTAGTGTCGTTATAAAGAGCATGACTTACTCTTTCATACAAAAATGAAAGCAGTCAGATCGGTCGGAAGAATCAGAAGTTATGAATTTTTGAAAATCGTGCGCAAGAACTTTCGGGACGACCTAATATTTATGAATTATATTAGTTATAACCTAATAAAACCATGTAAGTTAACAACAAATCAGCAGTCTCATGCACAACTGCGATGCCAGAATTATGCACAAATTCTGGCTAAAGTAATCCAATCATTGCCGTAAGTCTCAGCGGTTTTCAATTTGCGAAAGTTTCAAATCATTTCAACGGTTAGACTAAGTTAAGTGGATCATTGCTCCAAGCCTTGGAGAAACTCATTAGACCAGAAGCAAGGTAAAGCTGCTGTCCGTATTTACAACATAAAACATGAGTTTTACAGCTCAATCACACTCTCTCCATTACAAATCTTCCTTTTTTGAATATATTTTTCGTATTTCTTCCATCAATCGGTGATGGTATCACACAAGCAAACTCTTCATACCAAAGATTAACCTCGCTTCCCGAAGGACTTGATGAAAGTCAAAACAACATGACTTGTCCAAGGTAGTGACCATCATAACAAACATCGATGTGTTCGCGTTCTCGGCCTAGATTCGTTTGTCTTGTCTCGCTCATGGACAATTAGGCACACACACATACACACACACATTCGCAAGATTCGAGCGTCAATTGGGCCAATCACGGCAGCTCGCCACTTACAGTACCCAGTGCACAGACCTTGACGAAAACAGAACAGAGACTTTAGCAAAGCTATGCTTTTAGGCTACGGCACTTCTTTGGCTATATCGCTGAGCTTTTTTAGTGATGGGATAAAATGTGTAAGAATTACCTATTGAAAGGCACAGCCAGGGAAAGAATCTCGGCCACTCTGCTTGTAGGGCAATTTGATAGCTGAGCGAAGGAAGTGATATCGTTGTCGTGAAATACTCTAGCACTAAAAATGAACATCAACTGCCTTGCGTGTAGAAAATTACAGTAAATGCGATCCCCAACCGACTAGCATCCAGTCCATCGATTGAAACGAGTTCGGTAAGCTCCCTTCGCACTCCAAACGCCAGTCGCGCAGCAAAACCCTTGAGCAGATCATGCAAGTAAGTCCAACCCAGTCGGGAACAAAACGCAACAACCATGGCTGAAATCAAATATTATCTATGCAAGAATATTGCCTTATTTCCCTCCTAAATCCACACGCCATTTAATGCGTGCAAATTCCATTCGTTTTGCATTTACTCGACCATCTTGTGGTGCACGTCCTACTCTTGCCTAACGGGGCCAATCAACTATCTCTAACAGAGGCAATTCTTCGACACTGGGGACATAGGCCAATTAGTAGTCACATCGAGCTGTGCGCAAACGATTTGACAAGCAGATTTCCACTTTTTTTCTCGACAACTCACCCAGTTAAAGTAAAGTTCCCTACTTACCAGCATAGGTAGCACTTTGCTGCTGTAAAGTTTGCAATGTTCCTCGGCTAATTCGGAAGCGACGCGCTACCTCATCAATCGGTTTTTCGTTAACGACGTCGTAGAGGGCGAGGGCCGAGAAAAAGCGCAGATGAAGCTAAACGGATAATTTAGAGACAAGAATTAATTTATGTACTCAGGCTACCTGATAACTACGATCAGAGTTTTTGATGCTTGTACCACGAAGGCGCGACAGAAGGAAACGATCATTCGCTCCCACCTAATTACGAATAAATTAAATTACATAATCAAAAAATTCTGTAATTCATTTTTGGATCTTAATGTACATGTTTAGCACAAAGAATTCTACACGGCGCCCAGATTTGGGCTTCGATTGACTGATCTAGAAGACCAACCAAGATACGACACAGAAATTCGAAAATCAAATTGATACGAAATTTTCGAATTTATCAAAAAGCAAATCAAAGCCCGCACTCCACCAAGATGATGAATGTTAATTCAAACACAAAAAAAACGTCTAGAAGGGATACGAGCTCCGCGTAAGAAAATAGCGCTTATACAAGAGAAAAGAGAAAACCACTGACCAATTTCGCAACTCTTTTCTCTCCATCCTCCAGCTGCGTGAAAATCGAATGCAGATGATTCCAATCACAACCTTGCCAGATAGAGCAGTTTGTCGGTGTGACCTGCAACATGCATTTTTCTCTAAAGTTACTTACCATAAACCTTACAAGGTAAAGCATATGAAGTTCAGTGTCCACTGCCACAGCTCTTGTGGCTTGTTGAAGATCAGCAAACACGAACAGAGCAGCATCCGGTGGCAGAGCCGATACCAGAGTAGCTCGACCAAGTTGGGTCGGTGCCAAAACAGAAGCTAAACTTTTATAATTGGGTTTTGGGTGTCGCGGGGGGAGTGAATTAGACAAAAAAGTACTTACAGTCCTGACTAGAAATTTCCTCATCAACAGTAAGAAAACGGTTTTTGACGAGATCACATACAATGTCTTCCCCACTTTTTAGAGGTTCAAATAGCGTTGATTTTGAGATTTCTCCTAACTCGTTGGTTCTTGTAGCTAACCCATCGCAAACACACTAAAGACTTCTCTGCTCTTCAGCAAGAAGCACAGGAAATTTCTCACCTCCAGAGTGAGCCTGGTATGGTCTCTCTTAGCTCGTTCAGACATCGAAGAGCTAAGGCGAATCAATCGAAGTGTCTCTTTCAGATCACTTTTCTTCACGGCAAGAATGCTTTCTCCTGAACAAATTGAAAAGCCACTATGGGTAGTAGTAGTGAAGTCGTGAATCAAATTAGAGCTAGATATACAGAGTGTCCCAAAAATATGTGCACACTGTTTGATCGTTAATAACTCTCTTGCTTTTATGTCTTTTACCGAGCTTGATGTACCATTCTGTAGAGCGATGTTCAACTTAGAGATTAACAGTATGGAGCGAACCACCAGTCACTCTTCATTACTGTAGGATTACGGTATGAACTTCCAGCATACGGCATTACTGCGGAATAGGCCTCTTAATGAAATAATTTCAAAAAAATCTGAAAATTTGTGTACCAAGGTTTTCAGGCGCGCTGACTTCATTAATGACTTTTCATCAGTTTTTCGAGCTTTCTTGATGGCGTATTCACATTTTTGACGAGCATTGGAAAGACAGTTATCAGCCTAATTTTGAAATAACTTATGAGAGAAGCACTATACTGAAGCGCAAACTTCATATTTGGAATCAGCGACTTCGATTAGCCCACTTCAAGAGTTTCTGGCTTGTTTGGGTTTCTTTCTGACGCAAAATACCGGCAAAATACCGATTTTGATAGCTTACAATCATCCTCGAAGTTCCCATAGGGGTTTTACAGTAATGAAGAGCGATCGATGATTTGCTCCACAATACAAATTTAAGTTGAACCTCGCTCTACAGAATGGTACTTTAGGCTCGACAAAAGACATGAACGCAGGCGAGTTATTAACGATCAAACAGTGTGCACATCTTTGTGGGACACCCTGTATAACGATGTCCTAGGCACTACTGAATGGGATAAAATATGGGAAAAATTAGCAAGGTTTCATATTTCACGTGCACCAGGTTTGAGGTCTTTGCACAAAGAATATCAAAACAAAGCCAAAGAAGAGAGCAAGCATAAACGACTAGATGATACTTTCTCAAGTAAAATTTCAGAAGACAATAGATGATTTTTCTACCTAAAAAAATTTTTCGTAGAGCTAATCAAGGTATCAAGACAATCCTAAGCTACATAGTTTCCATCTTGCTGCAAATTTGCTCATCATTCCTGAGTAAAGGACCGTGAACTCCAGCTCTCTCTATTGCAGACTCAGACGTTCTCTTTTGGAGCTTTTGGTTTCCCAAGTGCAGAGTAATCAAATTTGCATTTTTGACCTCGGAGAATACCAGAGTCAACCTTAGAAGATCCTCCCCAATTCACCACCCATACGCCCCCTTCTTCTCGCTACACACTAGCTCACTATCCTCCTCTCTCACCCGCTCAAGGATTTTTCATTTGAAGCTCCTTTTCGTCGATTTGTTCCATCGCATTAGGTGTAAACCCTCAACTACGCTTCACAATTTAGCACACCTGTAACTGGACTCTGAACATGCTACACCCGCAATGAACTTACAGAAGAACACCTATTTCCTGCAAATTCAATGTTTCTATTGCATTTAGCAATAACAATTCACTCGCATTTTGCCTCACTAATTTCGTTAGCTAATGAGATTACGATCAGAGTCAGTAGCACTTATGAATGGAAGAATTAGCTTTAATGACTTTCAATACAACCAATTTTAGTGACTCGGCAACTCTCTGTTTTTGGAATCTTTGAAACAATTGATTTTCGTCTATAAAAGACACACTCGGATGTACCAAAATTCCATCTCATTATGATTGTGATGCCATATTTGGCTGAAGCAAAATTTCACTGCTTGCTTTTTTGGAGGTATCAAAGCCTCACCCAAACAAATGACGCCCGGCTTTCGTTCTGAAGGATCAACCATGAGTTAGCCAGATGGTCGCAATTTTGGACAAAACTTAATATTAGAAAGTAGCAGTAATCCCTAATACTGTCAATAAAATTATTCTTATATCCATATTTTTATGACCAACTCCGATCTTGTGTACTTAAAGCACCACTTATCTGACAAGACGTTACATTTTACAGATATCCAAAATCTGTCCGATAACTTTGTGCAGATTTGATGCGCGAAACTCTACTTTTCCTACTCGCGCATGAGTATTCCTAACCTGCTACCTTTCACCTTCTTGTTACCGCAGCTTAAAAAATTGCAAAATCAGAATTTTTTCACAGCTTAGAGTATCAACCCACAACTTAGTTAGCCTATAACCAACAGCGTAAAGCGATATATTATCCTTCTACTATGGAGCAAACAAATTTTTTCATAGGAGATTAAAAGAGGTAAAATTTTTGTTTCAATCCAAGGAGTGTCAGATATAAGTGAAAAAAGAACTCAGTCACTTTCAAATATCCGTGGATAAATCCATCTTTCCAATCGGTTCACAACAGCCGCACAATGAAGAAAATTTTTTTATAGAGTTCTACTACATGATTAACTTGCTTGTCTACTATACAAATAACACGCCTTCTAATGCGGCTAAAATCGTCGTATTCTAGTTGGAGATCTTCAAGCTTTATCTAAACAATGATTTGTATTAAATAAGTCGCCAGGATCAAACCCCCAATCAACCAATCAAACTTTGCCTAGTGAGCGTTATTACCTCCCAGCGCGCTCCCTTTAACGACAATTTAACATATCATCTGCTATAAATGGGCAATTTGGATAAGATTGAACTTCGCGGGAAGGGCGTTTGTTAATTTGCGCAAATTGCCATCCGAGAGTCCAACTCGCCGTGCTCTTGTTCCCGCAAAGCAAATGCAATCGGCAGCTCGTCGTCTCTCGGCCCGCCTGCACCCTCCACGCTCGCTCGCAGCCCGCCACCCAACTGGAAATTAGCCAATGGCCTCGTTGCTCCTCCCCCTTTCGTGCCGATACTACAGTAGCGCACCACGCATCGCCGATTGTCTCACCGCTTCTACAGGCATCTAATTATGGCAGTCGAGGAGATGCAGCTCGCCAACGGGGTGATGAGTGCAGGACCGATGGGCGCCATGCAAGGACCCGCCATGGGACTCGGACCACAACGAATGAGCTTTGCCATACACGAAATTCTTGGGCTGCAAGGAAATGCCTATCTGTCGCATGGCTATTGTCCACAAGGATTCTTTCCACAGCAGGTAAGACAAGTCTCTTTCTCAAGTTTCACCCAAATCATTCTTATTCAGAGCTTTACCATGGACATTGGTTCATGTGCCTCGTTCGACAGACCACTTTGCGGTGAGCAACTGATTGCGGGTGCGCACTCAGGTAAGCCCGAATTTATTTAAGATTCATGATATTATCCGTCAAAAACAATATGGTGGCTAGAGCGTCAGATCATTTTGAAATTACAACCTAGATAACTCAAAAAAAAACACAGCTAATACTCTTCGATAAAAATCAGGATAGTCTAAGCAAAAACCACGAAACCTTACCTCAAAGAAAAATGGGAACAAATGGAGATAGGTTAGGATGTGGTCTTAGTTGACATAGTTGGTTCTCTCACACATTTCTACGAATAATTTCTAATTCTACTGATATTACACCAATGCAAATCCAGAAAATGAAGAAAATGAATTTTCAGGAAATTCCATGAATTACAACATGCCAGTATCGGCGTCACAGTCAGCACCAATGGATGAAGGAAGTAATCAGCAGAACAGCGGCGGCAAGAGCAAACGCAAGAAGAGAAGACACAGGTAGGCGTTCACAGATTTTTGATGAGTAACCACAAGTCTTACTTCAAAGTTAACCTAACCCGTAAAAATATATTTTTGACAGGATAAAATGAGAAGAAAAAGCATAGAATAATTACAGGACGATTTTTACGCAGTATCAGATTGACGAATTAGAAAAAGCGTTTCAAGAAGCTCACTATCCCGATGTTTATGCGCGAGAAGTCTTGGCTGTAAAGACAGAACTCCCTGAAGACCGGATACAGGTAAATTTTCAATTTTCAAAAATGGAGTCTCATAAACCAAATCCCGTTCGCAACGCTTGATCTGCCATCTTTCTCACACCCTCCTCAAATGGCGACAATTTTTCACACTGCAACTTCCCGATTTCATTTCCTCAATAGAACACAATGGCCAATCAGTGTGAGCTATAGCTGGCCACTAGAAGCCCCTTATCGAACGCTCTTCTCTTTCACTAAACTAATTTTGTCGGGTGCACTATCAGACTCAAACGGTCACACTCACCCATGCGTATGTCATTTGAAAATGTTCATATGTTGATGAACGTTCGCGTGATTAGCTCAAAAGCTAATTGCGACTCCGCAGAAGAGGGCTCCGCAGAAAATTGCTGCACAAAAGTGGTTAAGTGGTAGCTGAATTAGCCACATGTCCCTGGAGGCGCTAGAGAAATGTCAAGGAAAACACCGACAAAGAACAGCTAGTAGCAATTTGAAACGAAATCTGAAGGAACTCCTAGAAAAGCGATTTTAGGTGTGGTTCCAAAACAGGCGAGCAAAATGGAGAAAAACTGAAAAGACGTGGGGAAAGAGCACTATAATGGCAGGTAAGACCAAAAGTATCAATGATGAGGTGATTTGCACCTAAGTACAGCAAAATTACATTTCAGAATACGGTCTGTACGGTGCCATGGTGCGGCATTCTCTTCCACTGCCTGACACAATCACTAAAACTGCTGAAGCTGCTGATCCACAGCAAAGTGCTGCACCATGGTTGCTCGGTAAGTAGTACAGATCTTTGTTTCTAATAATTGACAAAACGTAAGCAATTCCATCATGCACATTCCTTTTCAATTAGTTCTATATTTCCCGACGACTACTCTAACAGCTCATACGCGCGACAATTGACTTGAATGTCAGAAATTAAGAGCATGATGGCACTGCAACATCACTGCAAATAAATGCCAGCTAATCGCCTAGAGCATTTCCTCTCAAGAGTCTCAAATTTCCAAACATTTGCCAAATTGGGTAGATATTCATATCTTACAACATACTACAGATGGAAGGCAAAGGTTTAGCAATGGCAAATTGTATTCTAACATCCATGCTTGCACCACTCCGCATTAAATCTCTTCACAATTCCAGAAAAGAATAACGAGATCAATTGAGCTAAAAAAACCATTTCTACCAGTTGAACTGCAGATGGTTGCAAGAGCTCAAACGTTCTTACCTCCGCAGACCCCAAAATGATGCTATGGATAAATTGCGAGAAAAAATCTTTACCGGGAAGGCACATAGCCTGATTACTACGTTCAATTTCAAGCAAAGTGAATTTCTGCGAAAAACAGGACTTGAGTGGATTACTGTAACAACGAAATTCAAACTCGCAATAACTCAAGCATAAAAAGTGCGTTATAGAATATTTAAACTCAATAAGTGCAAACCAAGATTTTCAATTTCAAGGGTTCAAAAGTAATTTTGTAACCAAGCAATAATTTCAGAAAATAATTGCGCTCATTTCTCGAAGTTCTAGGCTTGGAAGCTTCATATAATGAAAATAACTGTAATTGCGAGATTTCGCGATTGTCTTAAAGTTAAAGAGATGGTTTAAAAAGCTTACAAACAGAATTTAGAATTTCAGCTCCAGGATTCGCAGATAAAATCGTAGAATTTCCAATCTACATAAACTTTTTGTTTGCGTGATTTTCCCGCTATTTCGATCAATAGCCAGACCATTGGCGTAGATTTATAATTTGACAACCATTTCAGTGTCAACATAAGCTTAGCTACAGTAATTCTTCCAACGATCGGGGCAGTTCCCATGATTCTCGAATGTGTTTCCAATTACCAGCAATTAAGGCGAAGAGCGAGAAACGGGAGCGCGCGTGTGTGCCTGGTGTTTGCCGTGATGCGCTCGTTCAGGCTGATTCCTACCCGTTTACGCCATCGCTCATCGTAGCATCGCACTTATCTAATTACAAACAGCTAGAGATTAGACGGAATGTGACGGGGACCAGGAAGACCTCGGTACTCCAAAATAAGCTTTGATCCAAGTTCCATAGCTAGAAAGCCCAATTTATCGAGCTATGCCAGCAAAAGGCAGCTAGCTACCTTAGCGACAAAAAAAGAGTAGTAATTAAGCTCTAGGCAGATTTTGATTGAAGCCGCGATTAAAGTTACTATCGTTTCTTTCATCAGACTACTTTTCAAATGGAAAGCTGAACTAGGTCTTGCAGCCATTTTACCTTACTATGGGTCAGTCTTCCCAGAATACTCTTGACGCTGAATTCTCTAACAACATACAATAGCAAATCACAACTTCTCAGATAACAAACAATTTTTCCTAAGCCTTTAAATTCCGCAGAAAGAATCTAACAAAATGAATTGATCTCGCGTGTTTCATACAAGTTCTTCTACACAGATATACGACCCTAATCCACTCCATCAAATCTTAAAAATAAGCTATAAGTTGATGGGATTATCCCGTGTGTTGATCGAATTCGATTACTCAAATCATTTATATTTCTGATCGATTTCTCATTCAAAAAACTTTTCTTGATTAAAAATTAAGATTCCTCAAGATATATCATGGTATGTGACTAGTTTTTTTCTGAGATTAACGATAGGTCCTCCAATTTTCTTACAATTTAGTTAAGAAATGAATGAAACAGTCTACCGAAAATTTCGCACTGTGGTATCCTTGGTAATGATTAGCGTAATTAGGGCATTATAACATCATAACAAAACTGTTGATCTTATGCAAAAAAATTTGAAGTTTCAACAGGGGCTTGTTGAGAGTTAAACTGTATTGCAAAAACGCTCTCTCGAGTAAATATTTGAGATGAAATCAGATTGAGATTTGAGATCAATAAACTAAAACGAGAATTACCGTACCGTACCGTTACTATCTCGTCATATACTTAGATTGATTTCTACTGTATGTCTTAGATTGATTTCTCCTGTATGTCTTCAGCGTGCCGATCATGTTCTAAGATATGCCAAATGAGATTTTTCGATGTTAAACTCAAAGATAGCGAGCCAACATACGCCAGATCACGATTCTCAATGTACTAGGACATTGTCAGTACTGGTAATGTTCAAATACATAGCAATATCAAGGATCAGCAGTATATTAAACAGTTTTCACAGTGCTAAATATACTCTCGCTGTTGTGACACCTTAATCTATGGTTGAGCTCAACTCTATAGTTTTTAACTCATCGAATGTATATAACTCCTGACAGATATAAGTGCGTCAGCGATGATTAAGCGATCCAGCCGAATGACCTTCGAGGTGTCTAACAGCAAAATTGGGTATTGTCCTAACGACCATCTCGACAATTACGATCATGTCAATGGTTGAACGTCCTTAAATTACAAGCGGGTGTGCGCGAATGCAGCTATGCAATTCTTGTAATAAAGTTGATTGCTGTCCATTTAAGGAATGCACAAGAAGAGCATGGAGGCAGCCGCTCATCTAGAACAAGTAGAAAAATCCAGCGATGTCAGCGAGAGCGACAGCGAAGATGGACCATCGAGTCGCAGTTCGATGAACGCTGGTATGAGACCTCACTACCACGACGATAATAAGGTAAGCTAAGGTTCTTTAACTAGTACTGTTTTTGAACATGATACTCTCTTTGCAGCTGATCGGTCAGCTGAATCAGCAACGACCACTAATGGATCACATGCACAATCACGGGGCTTTCGTTCTACCAACTCATGCGAAGCTTTACGAACAATGATACTCATACATCGATTATACATAAGTGTAGTTATGCCCATAAATGGTGTGACAGTACACATGGCGGCGCACATGCTAACCTCGTACACAAACGGTTACGGTAGCGCAATTATCTCAAGTGTCGCGATGAGGGTGTCAAGAAGGCAAAAACGCATCCTAATTGAGCGGGCAAACGAAGCCGGCTACTGACCGAGGTTTTGACTAGAAAAGCCGCTGTCATTAGTATGTCATCAGCTACGTAGGAGAATGTTCTTGGTATGTTCACTGAGGTTACACCGCTGAAGAAGTAGGGATTACAAAACGCGCACAAAATGGATCTGGTTGAACGTGTTACCAAGATGAATAGGTATTTTTGCAGATTTTGATTACACTTCTGAAAAAGAGTAGATGCTGCTTTCAAAAGCCGTAAAGGCCAAAAAAAAAGACCAGTACTTCGAGAAGAAGTCGTGTGGAATTATGAAGGAGTGCAGTTCAGACTTAACCATAAGAAAACTAGGTTTTGTTGTAAGTAAGAAGGAAAGGGAGGCGAAAAGTGTCTGAAAGGTATGGTACTGATATTTGGTTCAAAGACCTACCTATTTCAACCTGTCCCAATCGTCCAGCACGTCCGCTCATCTGCTTGTAAGTAGTAGCGCTGATGGCAGCAGGACCACGAATTTGCGCCTTGATAACCACCCTACCAGCGGGTAAATTCACGCCTGCAAAATATGAGTCAGTTGCATATTGAGTTATTTGTATCAAAAAAAAAAAAAAAAACGAGAATATGGACCTGAGGAAAGAGTGCTGGTGGCCACAAGCACCATAATCACACCGCTTCGGAAACCCTCTTCTATACATTCTCTCTCCTCAGATGTTAGACCTAAAAACAAGAATCAAATGTAGATACAGACAAGCACAAAGTAGTTACGCACCTGCATGGTGGAAAGCTACACCTCTTGGAAGAGTTTGCGCTAGTATAGGATCTAGTGTGCCCGCAGATCGCTGGATATCTGCTTGAACAGCTTGAAGTCCAGCACGATTTACACGACCAGCAATAACATGATTAGATCGGTAGATTCCATCCAGTATTTTTGCCAAGTCAAGAGCTATCTGAAACGTTAACTGAGAGCCAGCAGCAGACTACTTTTCTTAAATAGACTAATCAGATATATTATCAATAATCAAAATCTAAAATCATTGTCCTTACTAATAAAATAAAACAATAGCGAAGAGCAATTGCTGCGCTTCTTTAAGCGATAGACTGTCAAAATAATTTATTCGCTGATTTTTTCAAAATAATCTAAAAAAGATCTAGATTTGAAAAGATTTGAGATCTAAAAAACCAGACATTATAGATTTTCATTGAGCTTTTGGTTATTTTCACATAGCAAAAAAAAAAGAAGAGACCAAACCTTTTCCACATCGGCTTTGGAAGAACTGAAGACGAGTACAAGTTTCTTCAAATATATTCCTTCAGCTGCTAGGCTGTAATTATTTATGTAAATAAATGAAAGCTGCCCGAGATAAATTACCCGAGAACACATTCCGGATCCTCTGACACTCGAAAGCGGTTAGGAACATCTCTGATAACATTGCCACTACTAAGCTCACTAATATGACCATCGCAACAGATCCGCTCATTCAGATCAACGGGACGAAAATGAGTTTCGAACACCTAGAATATATCCTGGACACTTAGTCACAAAGCCTAAGTTCAGCAATTTTCTTCTTCATATCAGACGCAAGAAAGCCTCAATTCATTGCGCATCTCAGGAGCTGAAAACAGCTTAACGCCTAATGAAAACCATACCTTCGCCTTTAACCATTCACCAACAGCGTTCAAATTTTCCAGCGTTGCACTCATGCCTATCATGCGGATTCTTCTATCTCGATTACTAAAAAGATATTACTATATAAACAATACAACATTTTACTTGCAAAAACTAAATGATATTATGCGGTTCACCAACAAAATTACAAAAAACTCACACATTACTATATGGTTCTTTCATTTCAACTCAATCAATACGCTCTAAGCATACTGAATAAGATGATATTCTTTCTCTTCAAATTCTATACTTCTTAACAGTTACATCAAAATTGAAAAATTCTATTGACAATTTGCAAGAATGCCTATGTATTGAGTACTTCAAGATACCCTTACACCGAAATGATCTTTCAATGTTTCAAAATTTGTAATTTTGTGACTGATGCCCATCAAAATGATGTTATCATAGAAATGGGCCACATGCCAAAAAGGTCATTAATGTTAGGGAAGATAAACTCGGTAAACTAGGAACTGAAATAAACTAGAACAGTGGTTTGGAGTGTGAAATTACCGTGTGTTCCACAGATTGATCTTAGCACAAAGTGACTCCAGAATCACACCGCGAGATGGGTCAAAAATCATGTGAAGCTCATCGATGACAATGAGGCCTTAAAGAATACGAATTGTTTTTAACAGACCATATATGTAGCTACCAATTTCATCCATCAATCCATCGAGCATAGCATGGTTCAAAAGACTGTTTGCTTTTTCTGTAGTGCATACAGCAGCCGTCCATTCTCTAGATGGAGCAGACTGAGCGCCAACAAATGCTGCCACTTGTACATCCATGCGACGCCATGCACGCTGCAATTTTGCTTTCGATAGTTTCCCATATGAAGATGTCAAGAAACATTGTCAAATCTCATTCGCTACTGTCAAAGAAAAAATTTACGAAGAACTTCGAACCTGTAGAAACCGCAACTTTTCCTTTGCCACCGAGATGTAAGGCAGTAGAAACAATACTCTCTTGCCCGACAAAGCCGCTCGCAGAGCTACAGTCAATACGTCATTCTCAAAATGAAAATGAAATACAGTGGTTACCTATCAGTTCTGCAACAATGCTTTTCCCCGCACTTGTTGGAGCGCAAAACACGATATTGTCATCATTCGTTTCCGCAAAGTCTAGTACCTCTGCTTGCCAGTCAAACAAGGATGTGATATTCTGAAGCGATGTGAAGTCAACAGAAGCACTACTGTAACACCGAACGTTCATATACCCACTTTTTCCGAGTATGCTGAAACGATTTCAGGAGGTGCCCATTCTGGAAAAGCACGTCCCTTATCGCTCATTAGGTGTTAAACCCCTTCAAAGATGTTGTTAAGCGTAATAACGTATAAGACTCCAAGCAATACATGTGCAATGGAGGCACTGGTAAGTAAAGCACATGACCATCTGGTTAAAGTTTTATGTCGTAAAGCAGTTAATATATTTACAAGTGCAGAACCGTACTGATAATTCTGGTAAAATTAGCGATATAAGTTTGGAATTATAAAATCTACAGGGGGCCAAAACAGGTTTGAGAAATGACGTAAGTAGGCAGCGACCAGTATATGAGCTCTCTACAATGGGCCAAGATCGGGATCCAGATCAGGAACAAGTCCAGACACGAGTGTGGCATTTCTTAGCGGGTTTGGATCATCAGGCTAAGATATATACATTACAGAAGAATGAAAGTCAGCAAAGAAACTCACAGCACAGTCCCCTGCATCCGGATGACCTGTGGTGCTCGAAGTACCCGAATCCACTAGAAACGTTTCGTTACATATGTTCTAAAAAATTTTTGCATGTATACTGATCAATGTACCACATTTCAAGCACAAAAACCTCTTTTTCTTCCGGGAAAATGGGAGCAGGAGGGTGATGTAGAAGCCTGGACTGTCTTCGACTTCGTGGAGACATCGTGCTCTCCCCGGTGCTGTCGTGTTGAATAGTGAGATCAGGGATAGGAGATAGATCGGTGCTAAAAAGCGTCATGTATTGTGCTGAAAGTTTTGACAAGAAGAAGGCAACATACACCACGCTAAGCCTTGTCTTTCTCTTTTCACCATGATGTGCATGATGTTCGAAATTAGGATGATACGAGGTATCGGCAACACTTTCTTCCTCTTCCGAGTCCTCAGTATCGATCACATCGATCGGATTCTTCACCTAAAGAACATTACGAGTGCGATGACAATTCGAGTTATTGAAAATTAGAACTAACATTTCCGAATCGGTGAATTCGTGCGCGATTCGCACGGGTGCGTTTTTCTTGTTCAGTTGTTATAACTACTGATGGGCTGATGCACGATGAAGATCGCGATCGGCTTAGACGTTTCGGTTTCGCAGAAGATGACGAAGATGTCGACTGAAATGACTCAAAATGAGAAACAATCATACATCGTTATACATTAGACTAACCTCTTTCTTGGCGACTTGATTTCGAATACGACTAGCATGCTCAAAATTCTCGCACAATCGCTTGAACTCTTCCACTGTTTCATGATCCACCATTTCGCAGGCGTTCATCCTTGCCATCAAGTTGAGGAACTCAAATATAAAATATATTGAATGCCTTTACACTACCAACGAGAGCTGTGATTTGCGCACAATATCCGCAACCGCAAAGCGGGGTTTTTTTTTGTACTCACAGAGTTTCCAAATCAGAAAAAAAGGTAGAGAAACTCACAAAATCAAAAAGAAAAAGGTATTTGAGTAGAGACTTGATCTATCAGAGAAGGACTTACATGCATCTCAGCTTCGGTCTTCTGTTTATCGTACTCCGCCGCTAAGCTTCTATTCTTTTCTTTAACTTCATTGAGCTGGTCGTCATGTTTCTTCTGAAGTAAAAATTTCAAAAGAGGAGAGAAGAAGAGTGCGAACGAACTGTAATTTATCGGACATAGTTATCAAGTGAAATATGATCATTCGGAAGTTGAGATGATTACACTGATTCAGATTTTACCTTCATATCACGCATAGCAGCTTCAAATTCTTTCATTCTTTTCTGCAAATGTTTGATCTCCTTTTCGTTGTCGATCACTGTTCTTCGCTCATGTGCGGCCTGAATCATAGGGAATTCACTGTTGACAGGACAACCCAGAACTGAAACTCCTCACCTGATCAAATAAGACTTTCAAGTAAAGGCGAGCAGCAACAACGGTGTACAAATCTTTCCATCTAGTTTCGCCTCTACTCTCGATGTCGATGGCGGTACATCCATGCTGGAGTTTGTCCAGTTCATGGCTGCTGAAACCGCTTCTAGTTGAGATAAGATATAATCATATCTGAACTGAACCGACCAAAGCAACTGCTGCTGATCGATATTTTTGAGTTCTTCATCAATCTTTCTCAAGGCTTCTTCCACTTCTGGAGGGTAAGCTTCCCCTTGTTCAGTAGAACGCCGCTGAAAATAAAGAGGGCTAACAGGGACTACATAAACACAACGCTCACCTTAGGTAACGGTTCCGTTTTATAGGCATCTTTTTCACGTTGCAGACGAGCCCTCTTCTTACCAAGCTGACGTCTTTGATCTTTCAACGATTGACACATCAGCTCCGCCTCGTAAGAGCTACCGATGAGAGCAAGTTCAGCTTCAATGAAGTGCTGAAAAAAGTGATTATAGTGAAGAAAAGTGACGAAAAAAATATAAGAATCATGTAAAGTGTTCAAATAAGGCCTACTTTCGCGTTCTTCAACGCCTTTTCACTTTCTGGTTTCTCGCGAGAAAATGCGGCAGCTTTCTCCATTTGAGCTTGCAGCCGCTTGTTCACTCGGCTGGCATCTTCCAATTTTTGCTTATAGACCATCATCTGCTGATCATGCACACGCTTTTCCCGTGCAGCTTCTATGTCTCTCTTACGTTCCTGCAGGACGAATCTGAGAGTTTATATGCATGGAATTGAAAGAATACCTTCTGTTTCAACTGATGAAGCTCTCTGTCATGTTTTATCTTCCACTGGCGGTATTTCTCAGCCTCTTCTTTTTGTTGCTTGACCATCCGGACTTTGGCCTGAAGCAAATGATATGCAAAAGAATAGATTAAAAAAATGAGATACCTTTTTTAATTCCGCGATTTCCGCTTGCATTCGTTTCTGCATCTCCTCACTTTGTTGCCTCTGCTTCTCCAATCGCTTCATGTCATTCATCTGCTTGCGGAACAGTGCCAATTGTTTCTCCATTTCTTGCAATTTTTTCCTTCTTTCTTCCGCCAACCTTAGACTCCGATGTAACTATCTACTTCCTCATTAAAACCGATATTTACGATACCTATTGTTTACAGAGAACTTCTTGAGGTCTGCTTCTAACTTCAATTTTTCAGCTAAAAGTGCATCTATGCGTTTTTGTAACTCGCCCATTTCTTGCTGAAATTGAAGTTATAAAATTGGCACAGGACCACGCACCTCTTAAACAGACCTCATGTCTTTTCAAGAGCTCGTCAACGTTCTTTTGATTTTCCACAGCTTTTCTCAAGATGTCTTCCTTATCTGTTATTTGGCGCATTACTTCTTCTAACTCCTTGTTCAAAGAAGCTTGCTGGTCAACAAATCTATAAATTGATATTGAAAATAATTTGCGTAATCCAAAGTTTCGAAATATCTAAGTTTGATGTACTGTACCAACTTTATGCTGAATGTTTCGTCCATAGCGCCTTCTTCATCAGTGTCTGCATGGTGGATCTTTGCTATTGATGGGTCTTTCTCCTAAAAAAATACGTGAGATTTCCGAACAGATTACAACGGTATTCGGTTACCTCTTCATCCAAAACTTGTTCGGTAAGAATCTCTGATATTTGCTGGACGAGGTCATGTTGTTCCACTTCTCCACTGTTCCTTGAAAAGAGAGAGTAATGCACAAGTAAACATCCATCTAAGTGGCATAACTTACCTTATCATTTCGATTGTTTGGTTCACGACGGTTTTGAATCGTTCCTTCTGTGACTCAACATGTTGGAGCTGATTGAGGAGACTGACCTGAGAATGCAGACAACTTTAACTCAAGCGCAACTTTGCAAGCTATACCTTCTGACAGATAGCCTCAGCGGTTTTTCCATGAGCTTCGTTCAATTGACGTTCTTTTTCTGCTAGTGCAGACCTCAACTCAGCAACTTCAATCGAACTAAAAAGAAGAATTCTCAATGGAGATCTTCTTCATTTTGACTTTAATACCTCAAACTGCCATCCCCGGAACAAGGTGCAATCCCCATGCGGACTTCTGCCAGCTCTCTTTCTAGAGAAGCTACCTGGAACGGACTATTTGCATGCGGAACCAACTATTTGCATTCAGATGGTAAGACGTGAAAAAAAAAACGAAACAAAGCCTACTATTCAGGTCTCCTTCAAATTCTGTAATAGTGAAAATACGTACCTTCTCTTTGAGCTCCTGCATCCTTTGCTGAACAGGATCGACATTGACAATGGGCTTATTTTTGATTTTCTTTGCACGATCAGCATATCTGAAAGATACGTCGTCGAAATCTAGCATGACAACAAAGTGATCCTAACGTGCGATCAAAATTCTTACTTCCTGCATTACAATGGTTATGGTACTATAGTTGCTACCATAACGATGTGCATTATAAAAATCTACATTAAGACTCAATTAAAATAAAAGATTCATCTTTAAACAAAAATTGTGGTATCTTTGAACTTCAACGGAAATGCACATTCGCGCAAAAGTCCGCAACCACACATAAACGGCAGGTGCAGCTACTTTTTTGACAATTTGGCTTTCTTGTAGATTGAGTTACTCTAGTTGAAAACTCCAGTCAATAACGCAAATTTGGCGCACCAAACATTCGCTAACCTGAGTGTGCTCAATGTTTCCTCTGCATTTGAGTCAGCCGGTGAGACACAGGCAATCATAAGTGTGTAAGAATTACCGCCGAGTGAATCTGCAGTAAAAGTAATCAAAGCGATCAACTTTCCATATAATTCTATTTAAGCTTACCTTGCAATAATCTAGTTATTTTCGAGTCCCTGTAAGGTATATGCCGATTCCCTCCTGGTTCTGACAAAGCGGAAATAACGTTCCCGAGCGCCAGAAGACCTGAGCTCGACAATTTTGCATAATTCTACCTCTGCATAAAAAAAAAGTGTCCGCAGTCAATGTGCCTCAGTTCAGAAAGTTGGTATAACACCAAATCGGCTGAGGATTGCACCAGTGGCGGTTAGAGGATTTCGGACTGTGGAGAGGGAGGGGGCGACAAAAAAATTTTCTGAATGAAGGTACGTGGCGTTAGCACGCACTCCGAAAATTTTTTTGGGATGGTGCTCAAATTTTTGTGGGCCCGTGACCCCCACGCCCCGAAGAAAATTTTAGAGGGCTAATTTGAATTTTTGACAATTATTTGAAAGTGCAAACAAGTCACTTGTTATTACCCTTATAAGTAACTTTCAAATCGCGACCCGTTCTCGAAAGCCCCTTCCCCTCCTCCGCTCCCCCTCCTCGGACCGCCACTGGATTGCACATATCCTGGAACATAACAAAAGCACATCATCAACTAAACAATGGCTTATAGAACTAATTTAATAAATTATCGCTGACCTTCATTGATACGTATACCCTCCATCATTCGAGTGCCTTCAGCTTGGGTTTTCTTCAGTCTCTCTGATCCTGCGAGATCAACCAAGTGCAGCTTTGCTGTGAAACAGCTTTGCCTCAAAGTAATGATAAAATAGGATGGTCGTAAACATCATGTTACTTACTCATCGCTAATGTCCGACTTTTCCAGAGTTATGGTGAAGATCGCATGAGATCTGCTGCTTTGGGCGTTCATTGCTGTACCACCTTTACTCCGCAAAACCCCTCCTTTCTCGAGCTGGGCCATCGTTTCGACTAGGTTACCCACTCTGCTTTTGGACAGTCCTTGCACCTGAACATTTATGATTACGGAATTAGCAACTGCAGCACATGGTATTGAAGAAGTCAGAGCTGAGACTTACAAAGACCATTCCATTTTGCTCTCGCACTTGCAGAGGCTCTTTCGATGGGCACAGCAGATCGTGAACTTTCTCGTCATAAATCTCCAGCATCGAGACAAATACCTGTCAAAACGTTAGGTTGATGATTACATCATTTTTGATGAAACAAAATAATTTATGGCAAGCACAGTCCTTTCCAGTAGAGTTGGACCCAAATATAGGACTGACAAAGAATTTACGATTAACGATTGCGACGAATTGTCGCAGACAAATCTATGATCCCAATGTTTGTTCCGTCAAAAAGAAGAACTAACAGTAGAGACAAATTCTTAGATGACGAGATGGTTCATAGGAATGTGATACACTGACATCACTGAATGAGCAAAAGGTTAGATCGCGAATAAAAATGAATTGAATTTGCATGGGTATAATGGAACCTGCACGTGTATACTTTTCCGACTAGTATATGTACACAACGACCTAAACATTCGCGGTGCATCTACACTACCATAAAAAGAAAAATTACAGAGTCAAAAATGTGACTACTTGGAAAGATGGACAATTTGAGATACAGACATCTGATATCCGTGGATGCTTGAAAGCCTACAAAAAGAATGTTGGTCAAATAATTTCCATTTGAATTTTCAAAATTTTGCAACTGAGCACAAAGAACTTGGATTTCAGCCAACCCATAATTCGAAAATGATGGATGCACTTTATATGGTGCGTTTACATATTACGTATTTATTGCATGATATGCTGCCCGAAACTAATCATAGATGAAGCAGAAACTCACTTGAAATTTGATATTTGAATCGCATTCGCAAATCTGTCGGAACAGCGCATCCACCAGTCGTGGAATTATTCCCCTAGTATCACTCGTCATGCTATTCGTAGTTTCCTCGGTTCCCATTGTATACGTTTTGCCGCTTCCCGTTTGTCCATAAGCAAGCACCGTACAGTTGAAACCTAAAATCATTTGAGTCAAAGCAAACCGAGGAAGTCAAAATTGGAAAAGTGCATCTCACAAATAGAAAGCGATAATCAAATTTCTGAATTTTTGATCGCGCGTTTGACCACCAACCTTTCAAAAATTGCTCTAGAAGAGAAGAAGCTGTCACGTCGTACACCGTGTCTTGTGGTGTAGAAGGATCCAACACCCCATCAAAAGCAAACATCTTCCCATTGCAAGAAAGCTGAAATGAACAAAATCGGCAGGGAAACAAGATATCGTCTACAAAAGCAAACCAACCTGGTTGGACTCGACAAAAAACTGCAGACATTCTCGCGCATTCTCTAGCTTCTCCCGCTCGCTGAATGGCCTCGACCTTATGAAGACCTTTACTGGAATATCTCCTGACATTCCAGCTTCGAAGATTTAGGAGAAAGGCGCTGCAAGGAAGAAATTGCCACAGTTTCCGAAGTTGCTGTTCAAAACTCTTTGCATTGGCGGCTTTGCCGAGGCCGTGGTCCTTGGTGGAAATTTTGTTTGATTGGGTCAGGAATTCGTTTCTGAGCGAAGTGCTTCTTCCAACGCAACGCTCGCTCATTTCGTTGCATAAAGTGTCTATCCATAATCAAAGATGACATATTTCACAAACTGGGATGAGTTCGCCAAGGCCGTCGAGAAGCTACATTCAGTAAATTCAGAGAAGTGCAGGTGAGTGTTCTGCCTCATTCTTTTACCATTTATTCTTATTGCCATTGTTGGGCGCTTTCTTTGGTCTGTTTTCTGTTGCATGTTTCTTTTATGTGATCATTTCCTTATTATATTTCTTTTCAAACGAGTTTTTTGCTGATTGCTTCTGGAATCTAGTATTTACCGTCAGTCAGTGCTTGGTTATATGTGGAAAAGGCGTAACCTTCAGGCACTTGGACATTAAATTGTATGTCAGTAAGCCGCTGAAGCTATCATAGTAATGCACGAGTTACGAGTTTTGTGTTCAGATGCATTGTATATCGTCGAAAATTTATCGACTCTTTTTCGTAACTGAGCACACTAATGCAAGTGCTAAATATCATTTTTTTATGGCCGAGATGAAACAGTTGATGCAACACCATGTTTGCGTGCTGATAATGCACTGCGAAGATATGCGTGTTTTGTAGCTGGCTAAAGCTTGCAGAATTCCTTTACATGTGTGGACTAGTCCGTATTCTCTACATGCAGCCGCTTGCACTGTAAGTTGTCTGCTGAAGAAGATTTCTTTATAAGGCATCTGTCGCGCTAGATCAATGTAATGCAGCATCAATACAAGGTATAAGTCGTTTTCAAAATCGTGACGACGGTTTTGATTGCGGTCTTTGCGCTGAAACAAAAAGGAATCACCCCTCAGCTCAGTCACTTCCAGTGCCTAACCATTATATAAGTAAGCAGGAAAACATTTAATTACAGCTGAAAACCAAAAAAGCGGTTGTCGGAAGTGCGTCGTCGCGCGCGGTCGCGCCATCGTCATGTTTTCGAATGCCCTATAGTTTCAGAGCACTCCACAGGCGATTTTTGACTCCACTTTTACTTTTCTTCAAGCTTTGAAGCTGCTGAGATTGGACTTTGAGGCTCAGTATTCCGAAATTGCCTGTTTGGCCCGCCGATGAGGTGGTCCTTCCATGTGATGGCTACCTTATGGGCTCCTAAAACGTCTTGTATCAGTTTTGAGTCTGAAACAGGGATAGTGATTCTTTGTGACTTAAAGTATTTGTTTCAAAAACAACTTAAAATCGTATCTTATGGTGCATGCATGAAATGATTGACTTGTTATGTTCCTTTCCTTTCCTTTCTAGTACCGTCCAAAAATACTCAATAAAAAATTTGAGTTGAATCTTCCGTTCCCGAATATGGGAACACTTTTTGGCTCTTTATATCAAATTACCTTTGTTACTGTTTATACGCCAGACCCGTTCTGAATCGAGGTGTGCAGAAGTTATCACTCATTAAAAGTTCGTGCTTAAAGGCAGCGTCCAGGCAAGTCTGGACACATGGGGATCTCACGTGGATAGTAATTTTCGGGCCCTGACAAGCCACTGCCCAACCGGCAGCTCAGGTAATGCTCTAACGGCTGAGATATTCCTCTCGAAACTGGACCCCGCGATCATATTTCATGGCGATTCATGGCGTAAAGCGTGGGTCCGTGCGCGAAACTGCCATGATCCATGCGAACGATCCTGGGGTCCACTTTAAAGGCTCATATCTCAACCGTCAGTGATTCACCTGCGCTGCCGCTTGGGCAGTGTCTTAGTTAGCCCCAAAATTACTTTCCACGTGAAATCCCCATGGGTCCAGATCTGCCTGAACGCTGCCTTCAAACGTCACAAATGGATGTGCGTGATCAAGAACCTTCTACCTATAGGATGCTGTTTGTGCAAATAAAATTCTATGATGTATTTTCAGGTTTGTAACCAAGTATAATCATCGAGATGGCAAACTGACGATGAAGATGACAGATGATGTTGTCTGCGTTCAATTCAGTACGAATCAGCTGCAGGACGTGAAGCGACTGGAGAAGCTGTCGGCCACGTTGATGCGAGCAATGGTTTCTCACTAATTTTTGACGTTCGCTTACTCCATCCTTTTGTAACCTTTCTACATCTTGTCGGGTTCCTTCATGTAGATTGCGGTTGTTTGGCCGCATCATTGTTTGCTTACGTTGACCGTTTCCCTCAGCCATTTGTTGCTGTTCATCATAAAATCTACCATCGAAATGTTTTGCGGTGGAGGATTTTTTCATTCAAAACATCGCAGTGGAGAGTTAATTTCAATTGCTGGTGAAACCTCCACAGTCTACTTCGTAGTCAGAAAGAGAAGAGTGCAAAAGGGAACGTTTTGATAGGTGCTTTGAAGTTAAATCAGTGTCAAAAATAAAGTCAAAATCCTTGAAACGTTTTTTTTTGGATATACACACTTGAGAAAAAATGCATCTGCTGGAGATTATTGGCTGATCAGCAGAAGCCAACTTCCTTCTCTTTTGCGTCACAATCATTTTATTATTGCTATATTATTTTCGTATCAGGGTCATGTCACGTGTTTGCCGCAGCGCTTCGCAGCTCAATTTCCTGATCATGAGCTAGTGGTCAAGATCAATGATTCATCGAGTATTTTTGGAAATATGTAGAGTTGCGAAATTACTTTTGCTTCATCGCGGAAGTATAGGCGAGGTCTGCGAAGGTCGACAAATGACTTAACCGTTTGTCCTTATGATTTGATTGATGACTGTGGATCGATAGTAATTGTTAGATGATCAATGAATTTGAGTACAGCCGACTGGAGATCATAAGGTCATTTCTGCTTAGTCATTGTTCTGAACTTGTTGTTGAAAGAGACAGTTACGATGGCGTCTGAAAACACTATGATTTTCAGGATATAACGATATTTTCTATGTGAAGTTAGAAATGAATTTTCGAGTTGATGGACTGCGGAGGAAATTAATATTTATTCAAACTGCGATTCAATAAGAAGTGATCAAACTACTGATTTGTTGTCGGTTGCTTGCTTGGAGAGTTTTCCATTTTATCGTGCTGGACTGATCTGCGAGGTTAGCTCACCCTCTGACTCATTACTCCCTCTGACTCATTACTATCAATCTTGCAGAACATCATGTTGAGCTGATACACACCCTGAGAGCAAATACTGTTCCCGAAAACTGTCTTTGATGATGTAAACTTTAGTTTTCTTGAGCAGTGGAGATCAGTCGTGAGCTGTTCAAACTTGCTAGTTGTGCTGCATGTGAAGTTCCCATCCTCTCAACATTTGTTGGATTCCTGCTCAACAAGTTTTAAGAACGAGAGCGTTAAACTCAGAGTACTCAACGAGCGTCAAGTTTCTATTGTTCGGAGCCAGAAAATTTCTTGGGTGCCAAGGCCGGGATTGTGAGTTACTCTGAAAATTGATATGTGGAAGTTCCAGATAGCTCGACAGGGATCACACAAAAAAGTTGGGAAGTTTCATAGTAGTTGAATGATGAATTGGCACAAATAGTAGAATTCCTTTGCATGTAAATAGGTTGCAACAAAAGCTCGCACTAGAAATTCCGAAAAATTCCTTAGAAATTGCTCCGTTTCGATTTGAAAAAAAATTCATTGTGTTTATAATTGAATATATACAAGGTTCAACATTCTAAACAAGATTCGAAAAAAATTGAAAATCACAAGTTCTTGTAAAGATTTCCGATCGGTTCACGAATTTTCATTAGAAAAATAGTTTAGAACCCGAACCAAATTAAATTGTAGTTTTTTATGTTTAGCATTTGACCTTCTAGCACTATTGACGACTGGAAACTAGAAGATACAAGTTATGTGATTGTCTTTCTTTTCCCTCACACTTTGTTATTACATAAGATGAATTTATCAAGTCTGCGGATTCTCGAAAATTCTAATCTACGACACATTTTCCATCTACGGTAGAGAGTACGTAAACCTACGTATAACAAACCAATGTGTGTTTGTGATGTGTTTTTTTATGGAACTTGAGCGTACAAATGAAAATGAAAAAAACCGATAGATTAACAACTTTATCATTGACAATGTCATACACTGCAATCTATTACTCTGATTTTCTTAAGATTTTAATAGACAACCAGCTATTCTGCTAAACATCTGATCAATCAACTGTCATTGAAAAGAAAACTTTGATCAGTTGTTGCTATAGATATGAACACCACTATAGCATGTTCGGAGCCTTCGCGAACAGTTGCTGCTTTGCTGCCATCATAGATTAACTGACGAAATCGTTGCTGGCCGTTACAGCACGATGCGACATTATTTTTCGCAATTGGCAATTACCGGAAACAAATAAACTTGAATTAAACGGATGTGAAGTTATCTCTGTGATTTTTGCAGCTAATTGTAATGTGCCTTTTTGTCTGGGTGACGTAAGAGTGACTTAAACTGAGATTTACCAGTAAAAATGGATCCCTAGCTGTATTTTTGTATAATTTTTGTTTGAAATATGACCACAATAACATAAACGGCGGTTGTAAGCATATAGACATAACTGGTTAAAAGTAGCATCTGCCTTTGAGGTTCAAAAAATCAATTTATTGTCCACCGCGATCATTTTGGAGCTGAACTTGCGGTTCTGTGATAACTAACGATGTGAGTGGTAATTGAATTTATGCAAAACTCACAGTATCTTTTTTTACTGAGGAGAGTAATCCAGTAATCTGTCAACATTTATTTTGATTTTTTGATCAACTCTACGTTTTTATTTATTATTTGGCAAAATTCTCGCTTTCTTGAATGAAATGTTGTTCTGAAATTTTCTGGATTCAGTTATCGCGCCAAGCTGCTTTACGTACTCTTTTTTAAAATTGAAGATACAGTTGAGTTTTCTCACAAAAAACATTTGACGCCTTTGAACGCTTCAAAAAAAAACATACAAAATCTGTATTTTGCATTTTTTGGAGAACAGAAATCTAGAGAATTAGAGATGTAAGTAATTTTCAAACTGTAGCCATCTTATCATCAATGCCCTGAACTGGAATTTTTTTCTGAGACGCAAATCATATGATTTTACAAATAAATGGTAAATACAGGTTTGAAGTTTTATCGAAGCAGGATGTTATCTATGAAAGAGTTGTTGTTCGGATTCCAGATTTTTTGGAAATAAGAAATTCTCAATGCATATAACATGACAAATTTTGGCTAAATCCATTGACGAAATTCTTACGATCCTCTCAGAAAGTGGGGATATAGGTCATTGAGAAAAGAATAAACAGTTCTAATTATTACAATGTCCTTGTCCCATTATATTATTTTTTCCTATCGCTCGCGAACTAAATGGATATAGAATTGGGAGCGCAGCATAATTGCTTGTCGTGGGGATAAAATCTAAATTATGACAGAAGTTGTGACAACCACTCTCAAATCTAGCCTGCTAATTGCTTGAAAAAACACTCGAACGTGGATGCAAGGGCAGGACTTGCTTCCCGGAGACCGGAACTGTATGTCTCTCGTGATTTTCTTCAAACAATAATACTGGTTGATGATGTTTTTTCTATCGGTCTCTTTTCTTTCGCAATTTTGATGAGGAATTTAACTAAATATCTGGTCCTGTGCGCTGGGCTGGAGGCGATGACAAGTTCTTAGGTGCTGTAGGACAAAGGACGCCTTGAAGAAGAAGAAGGGGAAGAAGCAGGACGGGGACAGGGACAGGAGTTCGCCGCGAGGGGGACGAAGCCGGGGCGCGAGGCAAGTGCAAGGGGCGGGCGAGCCGGGGGCTCTCGCTCCCAGTCGAAAATCTTCTCGACGGAGGTGGAGGCCAGCCAGGCGCTCTCTCTCTCTCGTTCCCGAGCAGTCGCTTTGGCACATGGATCCTAACGAAGATGCGGATGCTCGCGCCAAGGTGCGCCAGATCATCGCCCAGGCGCCGAATACTCGTCCACCCGAATTCGTGAACCCGCTGGAGAAGATCGAACAGCTTCTCACCTGTCCGATCTGTCTCGATCGTTACAAGTAAGTTCCAAAACTTTTTTACGACTTATTACCATCAATTTTCCTTTTTTCTTGGAAATTCTTACCAATTTTCCTTTACTTCAGACTTCAACGAATTTATTTGCACTCCACTATATTGTCATTTGCGTCCGTTCAGCTCTTTGCTTGGTTCATTTCTTTGCTTTACACTCAACACTGCCGATCCCATTACACTACTTCCCGCAATTCTTGGCACCGTCGCTTTTTGAACTACGATTTAAGACGTTTCAACGATCGTAAAGATGTATTAGCCCGGTTATACTCGTAAAATTTTAATCTCTAGCTCAAAAGAGTCCGTTAAAATCCGCAGAACCAACCGTACCATTCACCAATTTCTGGCCCGATACCACCATTTTAAAAAACCGCAAATAAGCCCCTCATAACAACCACTAGGCTAAAAATCCTAATGTTAAGAGCTCACACATTCATCTATCCCTGCTTACGTCAGTGACTTTCGAGGAACACATGTCCAGCCACATGATCCGCTACTGGATAGACGTTATCTTTGACTGGACACACACACCTCGGGGCAGTTTTGACAGGGGGGGGGGGGGGGGAGAAGAGCATGATGAAAGTCAGAGAGACAAGTGCAAAATTGGTTTCACCGTACTTTGTAGATATCTTTGCAAACAAAACAGTCGCTAATGTTCTTTGTTCAAAGATATATTGTTTCCTGCTGGAGGGGCTGATGTGGGCTTCAAGGCAGTGTTCTGGCAAATTTGAATGTATGTTTTCTTATGGGGAAGTTGATGTCTTGGCCAAGCCATTGCTCAAGAGGAAGCTCAAATGATTTAATCGTGGCTAAAAATTTGAGTCTAAACTCTCTCCCAGACCGTATTCTTTCCGAGCGGATCGATTACGGTCATCGAGTGCCGTAAATTTGTTGGTGCGCTTGATAAAATCACCCAGCCAATGATGTTCATGGCATTTTAAATCGTCAGGAAGGAATGTCTATTTTATCTTCACAAGATGTGGTTTAGAAGATAAGCCATTCATTTTGGAACTTTTTCCAGAATGTTCTGCAAAATTTTTCTTGACACATGCTCAACACAAAACATTGACGTCGACAATTGCAAAAGCAAAGACGAACAGGCGCCGAGAATTAAAACAAAATCCAAAGAATGCGCTGGAAAACAGCATATCCTCTCAGCTTTTGCACGCTTCTGATATGATATATTCTCACTGTTTCTTCTTTGACCCAAGTTAAACAACTACAGTAGAAAAAGACCTATTTCTGGGTTTTCCATGGTGCCCTAGTGCTAAAGCAGAGCAAACACAAGAGCGTTCAACGTAACGCTCTGTTGTATTAGAGCGCTTGAAGAGCATTTCGTATTGACGGCAGTAGAAGAGTAGTTTTGTAGATTTTTGGAGCATGTGGAATGCCACTTACGTAGAAACTGTGTCAACAAAGGATTTTGTAGTTCCTTTTTCTGAAAATAAAAGGATCATGTGAGGGTAGCACTTCATAATATTTGTTTGCTGAGATATGAAAAGAAGGGGGAGGGGGATAAAAAAGAAGTAGAAATTTAGTATGAGATATACAGGGTGTCCCAAAATAATGTGCACACTTTTTGATTTGAACAACTCTCTTCTTATGAGGTCTTTCGAGAAGCGGTAAGCGCCATTTTGTAGAGCTGACTTCAACTTAGATTCAGTGTATGGAGCAAGTCACGATCGTTCTTCATTACTGTAGGATTACGGTAGAAACTTGAAACATGTGTCAACGTGGAAAAGCTGCCGTCTCAAAATTTTTCAAAAAAATGAGAAAATTGTGTAATAGGATTTTCACGGACGCTGAGTTCAATGCTCAACTATTCACAGATTGCGAAGCTTTCTAAACTGTGTAACCACACTTTCTAAGAACATTGAAAAAATGGCCGCTACTCCAATGGAGCATCATAATAAGCTGGGAACTTTAGAATCAGCAACTCTAATTAGCCTAGTGTAAGAGTTTTCAGGCTGTTTTGTTTCTTTTCTAAGGCAAAATATGGCCTTTCATGGCTCAAAACCCTCTTCGAAATTTCTACCGTAATCTTACAGTAATGAAGAGAGATGGGTTACTTTACGGACACCCTGTATCTACATTGTAAATCTTCTTTACTCTAGTGTGATTTTAAAGCAGCCAAATATGTTATCCTCAGATGTAAACAAGTTGAAGTTGATCGAAAAGGTTTTGAAACTGCTCTAAATAAAAAGAAATATCTTTTTCAAGTCAATCCAGTGTGATTTCAAAACAATTTGATCTGCAATCATATTTTTTTCACACTATGAAGTCTATTAATGTGATTTGCTTGTACAAAAGATCATCTGCCATTGTTTATGGACTGTTACAAGATTTCTTGAAGATTCTTCAGTATTCCAGTATGCCTAAAATTACACAATATAGACGACCAAAAATTTATCGCTTTTTTAGGCAGCCAAAGCTTTTACCCTGCCAACATACATTCTGCTACCCATGTCTCGAGTCGTGCGCGGATTCCTTACATCGAACGCTTAAATGTCCAGAATGTCGTGCTGAACACAGCATACCCTACGATGGAGTCAAAGCATTCCAGGTAAGCGCTACTTCAGGGTAAATATTGTTGGCCTTGGTTATGTCAATGATTTAGACCAACTATACTCTGACGGGATTCCTCGAGATCCACTTGCAAGCCACACCCGATTCTGCGGCGGAAATCGAAGAGTACATTCACAGGTGGGAAGTTCGCTAGTCCTTTCATATTTTTAGCAGCTCGCCAACGCCTCGCTGTGGGGATCGGGGTAAAGGGGCGCTGACTCACAGGGAGCGGTGTTCTGTCGGATTTCTTAACGTCGTTCGCTCCTCACACCCACATGTTGCTGAGCAGCAGCTGCTCGTCGACGATGCCATGGCCGGCGTAACGCGATCGCGGCGCGAGCCAAGCAGCCCGGCGCCAGCTGATCGCCCCATTCCTCGCCTTTGATAGTCGCGGCACAGGGGCAAAACGATCAGTTATCGCTGTGGATGTGCTGCCGTACAGCTTGAGATGTTCTTTGTGCGATGAGCCGGGGTGACGAAGCTAGTTTGCGAGGGCGTTGATCGCTGTTGACAAAGCGCGCAACGCTGAGGGCGCGATCGCGATTTGTCTGCCATCCAATCCCGCTATCGATGAGCTTGTCGGGATGTCCCTAGCCGCTCGTTTGCAAACATATCGGGGACGGCTGTTCAGCTTTGAGAAAACATCCAAATGGGGGTAGAGCTCGAACTAGACGAAAATGAGGCTTAAAAAGACTCTCTACCATTTTAGTTGTTTACCTTTTTTTCAAAGAAAAGAAAAGTTGTTGTCATATTTTCGTATTTTTTGCATTATTTCATCAGCTGTTGAACATAAGTCTTGCACATTTTTGATTACATTATATCCTCTAGTTCCAAGGAATTCATTGAAATTTTTATTTTTCAATAAAAGCAGTCGAATCAGACATGTCGCGAAGTGCTGAAAACAAAAGTATTGTTAGCACATCAGGTGATCTAAGCTGATTTGGAGGAGTATTGAACTCCATCAAACTCTATTTATATTCAGAAAGCTGTTGCCAAAACGCGAATGAAATCTTTTTTGGTCTTGATTTATGAGCTAGTATTTGGGCGACAAAAGGTGTGCCGAAGGATACCTACACAAAAAGCTCCATTTTTCGGATATCTTGATCGAATTTTTGATTTCGTCCGGGGGGAAAATTCTTGGATATGCAATGAAAGTATAATTCATATGCAATACAAAACATATCAAAAAATATATAGAGTGAATCGTTTCTCAGGCTAATCTCTTCTTGTGCAAAACTTATGTCCGAACTTCTTTTTGAATGATTTTTGCCAACGGGATTTCACAAATCTCTCCTTCATTGAAAAAAGCCAGTTTACCTTTATACATGAAAAACCTAATCGCAGTCGGGCTTATGCTTCAAATCGCCTTGATCGCGTTTCATGGCCATCAATGTAGTCTGTGAAGTTCTATGACCTGCATTTTTTTGACTGTTCTAAATTATTGCTCCAAACTTGAAGTCTTCCCAAATGATTCTCTGATGTGTTTTGAACCAAAAATTAGCCACGCAGCTCCACGGCCTTATGTACACGTTTTTCATTTCTTTGCTTTCCTTTCGTCAGAGGTCACAGTGATCTGGCAATAACGCATTTTTCATTTGTATGGTTTTGCAGACATGCAAAAATTGCTTAAATAGTGGGGATTTGATGCAATCAGCGCATAAAATACCCTATTTATGGCTTCTTTTGCTATGTTTTGACATGAATCTATTGACAATGCACCGCAACGATCATTTATGACTTTAAGATTGGAAAATTTTGCTGAAGTGGCTTCGCAGCCATAATCTAGTTTGATGGAAAGTCATGAAATTCTTTGATCTCTGGTATCGAATGGTTTTAGTAATTCAAACATTGGACACTCTACTGTTGTTTTCACGAAAAGAAGTCACCTTATTAAAAAGTGTTTATACTTTCAAACCAGTTAGCTTTTCTCACTACTTCTTGATTTTCTGACCCCATAGCTATCCGAGCGGTCGTGCCGGACCGTGTGAACTGATCAACGGGTCCATTGTTTTTCCGGGTACGTGGCGAGCTCGTTTCGAGAGCCCTCGTGCTCACCAACAGCTGTGGTGTTGACGAACGTGTGCTGTTGTTACTCAAAACAGTTCATCTTCTCAATAAGCACATTGTTTTCCAGATACAATCTCGAGCGTTGTAAAATCTGCGACGAGAAAGCAGACTGTGAAGTCTGCGCACACTGTGATCGTAAAGCATGCAAGGATTGTCGTCAAACGCACATGGATATGCTCAAACGAGATCTAGCCAGACTTTTGAATCAGGTCAGTATGGAGATTGGGTGAAAACCTGTGGGGTAATGAAAATTAGGCAATAAAGTTGGGTAAATGAACAACTACTGAAGAAGCTTCTAGAAACTGGGGAAGGGGAGAAGGGCGGCAGGAAGGGCTCACATTTGGTCTAGCTCAAGCTCTGAAGCCGCAGTGTAAAAAATTTCTGGGTTATTGAATATCAAGATGCCACCAAGAAATGTATAAAGTCTGAGTTGTTGCTTTACTCTCTTACTTTTAGCTTATCTTATTTTTTTGGAATTTTTTACGTCTGTAAGAAGTGAAACACTTCTCAACTAAATGGAAATTTTTGCATAGACCTTCCTTGAGAAGACTGTTGATAATTAAATAGCTTTACAAATTTGATTGCTTGTTCTATGATAATATTGGAGGTAATCTTTAGTAGTGTTTTGCAATCAAAAGTCACAAAAAAGTGAACTTCATGTGTCAGCCATATATTTCTTGGGTTCCCTTCCATAAACATAATGATCGCGAAACTCTGGATATATTTGGCGGATATGGCTTTCGGTATTACCATTGGAAATGTACTCAATAATGAAATGAATACTTATTTTTTTATTCGTGAACCTTTCAAAATTTGTGATGCTAACTCTCAGTTATTTCTGCAAGTGCAAATACCAGCTCAGTGTTCATCCTAATGATCTCTTCTCTATTAGCCATTTGTGACTAGCATATTGTAGGTTTATGAACTAAATAAAAACTTTTCGCGCTCTTTTCGTACCAGCCACAGATCCCGTTGCCCATAAAGATGACTTTGTCCAGTTTTAGGTCTCTCAAATTACTAAGGTAAAAAGCGCAAGGAAAAAGCGTTAGCAAATGAATATGCTTAGTTCCTTGCCCTTCGAGTTCAATTCAATCAATTTTGAATATACAATTGCAACAAAACTTTGAAGAATTGATTGTTTTCTGCTAATCGAAGTATCTTATAGGTACGTAGGCTTTCGAACAGAATCATCGAAGCGTCAGATGGTCTTTCCAAAGGACTTGAACTTCTCACATTGAATTGCGAGACCACCAAGGATGAGGTCAAGGAGTACTTTCACAGGTATCCCATTTCTTCTACCTCCTCCTTGGTCGATCGTAAAAGTTAAAATGAAAATTTTTTTCTAGACATCAGCGTGATTTGAAAAAACGAGAAGATGCATTCTTGAACGAGATCGATTCTTTCCATGCTACAGAAAGTAGACTAATGAGCAATTTACGCGATGTTCTTGAGATCGAATCGTCAAACATGAGTGAGGCAGTGGCTAGGCTTGACGCAGCTTTGAAGGTAATGATTTAAGACTCAATCAGATGCTTTGTGCAATTTTTTAATTTTAGGGAGAATGTACTCTTGATGACACTGAGCTCGTTCGCCTGAAAAATACTTTCTCCGAAGGCTTGGAGTACCTAAGAAATTTCCAGGTAACCTAAAAGTTTTTTTTATTTTTGTACACTATGAGACAAATTCTCTTCAGCCTGATGCAGACGAGCTATTTAATCGCAAAGTTAGATTCTCAGCTGGAGACGATGCTGCTAGACTGCCCCAATCTATTGCCACCTGTGGAGAACTGTGTGTGCTCATGCCTCAGTTTGCCGGAAGGTTGGAATAATTTTTGTCATTTTTTTTTGAATTTCACTTCTCTTTACTTGACTTTTCCAGATATCTACCATTGGAACAGTCATATCTGCCACGTCCTTTCCGTCTACCTCTAGAAAGCGATCAACATCGTTCTCGTCACGAGGACGCAAGGGCTAACGACAGAGATCGGCCGTCATCTAGAGTCACGTGAGTCTTTTGACAGTTTTGAAGATTGATATAAAACTTTACCTCAGTCGTGAGGTTGCAAGATAGATGACGAAGTGAAGTAAACGCGAGATGTTTGTTACATTTTCTTAGCCTTAAAGCTTGAAAACCCAGTAATTGTGTCTGAAAATGAATGAACCCCTAGAAAAGGTCTTTCTTTACGCTTGCACTTTCAAAAAAAGTTCACAATATGTTTGTTTCCAGTGCACGTGATCTCGACGAAGGCTCAATCAGATATCGTCGCCGTCAACAACTAGAAGAAGAAGCTTGGAATCGTCTTCGCGGACCATCTGACAGAAACGGAGCATCATCGTCCGAACCTGAGCGATCCCAAGTTGGAAGAAGCCCTTGGTCCAAACCTCCAGAAGCTTCATCGCTAAATGCGACCCCTGCTCCAGAATCTACGCAAGAGGTAACACCGGAATGACCATCAAAGCCTAGAGTAGCTAGAATTTTCTATTATAGCAGCAAGCGGCTCCTGTTCGTGTAGAAGAACGTAAACCACCTTCCAAGCCTGTTCCGTTGAATCTTCCTCGACCGGAGCGTGCAGCATCGCTGTCGTCGCCTAGGCCAGATAGTAGTCCAGTTCCGAAGTCACCAATAACGCCACCAAGTCCTTCTCCGCTCATAAAGAATGCAGAGGCGCCTAAAGAAGAACCAGAAGAGAATCGAATCACGAGGAAACCGCCATTACCAAGACAGGCATCGAGCAACGACGAATCGCTGAACGAAAAAGTAGATGTAATTAGGAGGCAGCACGCCGAACGCCAAGCTGCTTCACGAGCCGCTTCGAGCGACGAATCCGAAGGCGAGGAGACTTCTCGTCCTCGTCCGCGCATCAGAATCGTCTGCCGTGCGGCGAGCATCACCCGGGAGGAGGACCCAACCCCTGCGTCTCCGCAGAACGCCGCCGCGGTGCCGATTCCCGTCACGCATTTCGCAGGTGAGCACGAAGTGCCTGCATGGCTCGCCAGACGACGTCAACGCTTTCAAAGATCCCGCACTAACCCTGACCTTGCTGCTCAGTTCTCCTCACAGCGTGTGCAGCAACTGCTTCAAGAGAGAACTTCCCGTTTAGATAGTTCGACGAGCACCGAGGAGGAGCGCCGCATCCGCCGCCGTAGCGCGTCCCGAGAGGCGAATGAGTGGCGCGCACGCGGTTGTCCGCGCACCATCTTCGGCCGCAAAGGGGCCAAGGAAGGTGAACTGAACTGGCCACGAGGGGTTTGTGCCATTGGAGGTGGTGCCGTTGCGGTGTGTGACTCGAGTAACCATCGTGTGTGCGTGTTTGATCGCGAAGGCAAGTTTTTGCGCCAGTTCGGCGGCTACGGTACCGGCCGTGGTCAACTCGATTCGGCGGCCGGCATTGCGATGTTCAAGCAGAAGCTGGTCGTATCCGATAGATACAACCACCGCGTTTGTATCTTTGACCTGGACGGCAACTATTTGAGCTCCTTCGGTGGTCATGGCCAATCTAATGGAAAGTTCAACAACCCGTGGGGAGTTGCTGTTGATGAGCTAGGCACTATATATGTGGCTGACAAGGTGAGACTTATCCTACAATCTTACATAAATTAGTCGCGACCTAGTATTTTTACTTTTGATATAGTGCCCTTGCGTGACGACAACACTTGCATGAGAACGTATACCATGCTTTGCACTTCGCGGAATTTGCACGATCTGCGTTGCCATCATTTACGCGTAAATGTTGTCACCAAGCAAGAATACTGTATTAACGCCAAATCCAGGGTTTATATTTGGCTCAATAAAGTAGAAAAATATCACAAGCATTTTGTTAAGGATAATCATCGGGTGCAAATGTTTGATAAAAATGGCTTGTTTGTGGGAAAGTTTGGAACTAGCGGCCATGGACCAGGACAACTTCAGAATCCTTTGTTTATTGCTGTTAACAGATTCAATCATCAGGTGAGGCTTGGTCTCAATGGCTATTACGTAGACGTAGATGTCTTCGAAACGATGTTGAAACTCTAAGCATTCACCAAAAAAGAAATCTGTATAGGTTTATGTGTCTGATTCTGCAAATCATCGAATTTCTGTATTTGATGTACAAGGAACATATTTGTTCTCATTTGGAAGTGAAGGCTTTCATGGTGGACAATTCAAATTCCCTCGTGGGGTCGCTATAGATTCACAGGTGAGCAAAGAACTTCAGCAATTAGAATTGAGCGAAACCATTTCATTTCAGGGAAATGTTCTTGTGGCAGACTCAGGCAACAATCGAATCCAGGTAAGAGGGTGACCTGTTTTGATTACTTTGCAGACTTGATATGACATCTCAACAAATTTTAAGGTATTCACGTCCGACGGCGAATTTATATGCACATTTGGCACGTGGGGTGGAGGTGCTGGCCAGCTAAAAGGAGTCGAAGCTCTATGCGTTTCCGACGGTGGTGTGGTCGCAAGCGATCGCGAGAATCATCGCATTCAGATTTTCTGATTGTTATGTTAATACAAAACGTGTACTTCCCCCTGTGTGCATTTTGGAGCTTTAATAATGAATGTTTCTTTGACAGAGAACTAGTTGAGAAAAGGCATGAGCACATTCACTTCACACTGATTGCGTTCGAAAGCAACTGCCCCACAAGTAATACAAGACTATTCAAAATGGGTACCTTTTAGCTTCAAAAATTTCCCCGGTGTCTACCTGTAGGATTTCAATAAATGCTAAAGCGCAGTTTTAAGCATGCAGAGTGCAATTTATTACATCTCAGTACATATTTAAACACTGTAAGGGGAACGTATACGATATATATCCTACTATAATAACGCGCTAAGGGTGTTTACGTTTTTTTTTGTGTGTGTGTCTGAATGTCTGTCTGTCACGAAATTCATAGCGCAAGTTCCAGCAAAGGTCTTGAGCTGAAATTTGGGTTGTAGCACCCAATCAGCACGTAGGTAAAATATGCAGAAGCACAGGCCGATCCGTTAATTGGAACCTACAAAATTGTGCGCCAAACGGATCCAAGCGACCTTTTGCGCGCCAAAGTGGGCCTGTAATTGGACTTTGTCCAATGTCGTGGATTCGTTTAGCAATTAAATCCGAAACCATGAACTCCGGCCCGTAAAATGAGCAAGAAGTTTACTTTCACGCAAGATTGGCGCCAAAAAGGAACGATAGCGTTGATGATCGATTTGTCAAGGTTTTACCTGAGAATGTGAGAAAATTTTTGCTCAGAGCTGTAACTCACGGTTGTCGTCATCCTTATGGCGATTATCAAGCCGCTATAACTTCAGTAACTGATTCGGAATCGCATTTAATCTTTTGGAGAATACTTTTTTCCTCAAATTCACCGATCTTACATGAAAAAGCTTTTGGAATGAGTAGTTGTTTACACCTCATTCGTGATGATTGGCATCGCATGGTAAGTTTCAAAGCCATCATTCTGCGATTACGCGGAAGGCATGTGGATAGTAAAGCCAGTGCGAGCCTCTGCGAAGCAGAGGTGACGCACTAGTATATATATAAACACTGTAAGGGGAACGTATACGATATATATAATTAGTCGAAGATTCGTCAATGCTGTTGAGGTAGTAAAAAACCAGAAATGTTAAGGCTGAAAGAAACTCCATCCAACTTTAATGAGTTGAGCAAAATATGGAAAATGGGAAGGCGAAAACCAGGGCTCGGCACAGGTGGCTTGTAAGCAAGCTGGATATCGTTTTTGGGACAGAAAGCGGGTAGGGGAACGAAACCCGACAGTGTGGGCCGCCTCTGCGGACAACTAGTCCTGGAACGACATGCAACAGCACTGCAAGAGGACCAGCTGGCAGCGAAAGGGTGCTCAAACTGGCGGCCTTCGTTCCCGTATGTACCCACAAAGCAAAGGGTATTGTTTTTGTGCCCGAAATTTGGGTTACGTTTTTTTAGGCGAGATCTCTTTTTTCTAGATTTTTTACGTCTAGGGTTTAGGATCAAACCAGACTTCGTAAAATTTGCGAAAGCCAAGGCAGCCTTCTTTCTTTTGCATTTTCGGAAAGCTACCTCGTGCCAAAGACATGGATGTAAATGCAATAATTTAGTGCAAATGGCGTAACATTTGGGCAATGTTTTGGTGCAAAATGCATGTTATGCTATCAGCTACTCGGATTGACTTGTTAGAGTATCAGCTATCTTGAACTTCTGGTTTCGAAAGCTTTTCGTTCCTACTTACCTTCCTTCCTTTCTTCAACATTAGCAGAAGTTACCGTAGTAAACCGTGAGCGCTTATTCATTTGTATAATACATATAAGTTGAAACTAGCTTAGAAAACAAAACTTGGTGGTCCGCGCCAGGTGATGAGATACAAAGGTGCCTCAATGTTACGTTTTACGATCCTTCAGTCATTAATATTGTTTGAGCATGATCTGGATAAGCGAAAAAGACAGCAATTTGTAAAACCGTCAAGAAGGTTCTCTATGTCAATCTACAATTAAGAACCTTTACTGAAAATTTTAACAATTAATGTGCGTTATGTGGGTACGGAATAATTGTAACAGGAGATGTCTACTTCTTCTTGTCCTTCTTTCTCTTGCTCTTGTGATGTGCTCGTGACGGGGTCTTTGATCGAGCAGGACTCTTTTTTGGTTTCTTTGAAGGCTCTTTGGGAACGTCAAAATAATCCTTACTGACAGTAGTTGAAGTCGATGGAGTACTGGAACCTTGTAAAGGAGATGTGGGAATAGAACTGGACGTAGAAGCTTCTGCCTGTTCTTGGGACGAGGGGCTCGCAGTGTCGCCTGCTTTCTTAACATTTCCTCGTTTATGCTTCTTCGTAGGTATACTAGATGATCTCAAGAATCCTATCGTGACGCAAAGAAGGGCAAGCAAACTCAGCTGTGCAATTATGAGCGGTATTAGAATAAACAGAAAGACGAACCTGAAAACGTAAAGTGGACCCTGCAACGAACGTACACAAGCCTTACAAATCGCGTTTCACTTGCTGTCCTTTTGCATATACTGTGGTATTTTTCATAAGTGTGCCTTTTCCTTCTTCTGTGGTAATCCTCCTAGGTTTCAACGTGGCCTTACCTGGAACCAGGTTTGTTTTTCAAGTCTCGTACCTTATCATTTTCTACAGCAAAGGCAGATCAAGAAACAGCTATGACAGCTCAGCGTACCAGGGAATTTACGTTTTGGTTTGGCGTTGTTTTAGGAATATTACCGGTAATCTCACAACTGTTTTCAATTTTGATCCTCAAAGTTTACTTCGCAAACTCAGATAGTGGGTTTGAAACTTAGTTTTGCAACTACTTCAATAACGTTCTTCTTTTTCAATAGGTGCACTCAAATTTTGCCACTGTGTGAATTTTTACGTAAGCTACAATAGCAGCTACTCTTCTGCCAATTTCTGACATCGCAGTCAGGGCGGTAGGTATATTGTACAAGGGAAAAATCACTACTTAATATATTTTGGATTCGTTGTTTACCCATTAAGCCACCAGGTCCGCGGAACAGGCAAACGAGGAGGCCGCAGACGTAGAAATTATGATGAAATGTGCTGATCTTTGACTTTGGATGGCTGCCAAGTGGCATGCGTTTTGGAACGCTGCCAAATTTCATAACGAGTGGCCAAGCATATTTTCGTAAAAGGGTCACACGGGTTTCGAAAGGCAATTATGAGAGTCGCAATGATTTTGAGACTGTGCCGCCAGTGTCCGGGTGTGTTATTTGTACCAACTTCAAAATCGAATTCGTTATTCCAGAATGTGTCTTACAAATATGTTCTATTCCTATTAGTTGCAATTGAAATGATGCCAACTTGCGTGAAAGCGTGACTTGAGCTAAACTCATCTATATTCTCAACTCTTCGTAAAAATGCTCTAACAACAGTCACTTTAGGATTATCTTGCTTCCGCGTGTAGACAAGAGAGTGCGTGAAAAACTTAGTCTCGCTGGTAGTTTTGGAAGCGTTTATCTAACAACAGCCTTGCTTTTGCTTGTGTAACTGGGTCCCGCTGGTGCTTTCAACTGGATATCGGTGTGTAAGCGGCACCTAGGGCAATTCCATCGGGCAGGGAACAGATTTTTGTACGTTTGGGCCAGTTCTCAGAATTGAAAGTCTAAAAGTGGCATGTCGGCAGTTTGAGAATACGCTGTAAATACTTGATTTCGTTGCTTTCTTTCTGTAGAGTCGTGAAATTGGCTTTTTATATATACGATCTTCAAGCGGCACATAAGGCATAAACTTTCTTTTTGAATAGTCACTATCGGTCTGTAAGCGGCACGTAGGGCAACCCGATCGGGCAAAAACAGAATTTTGTACGTTTGGGACAGTTCTTATAATTCTTAAACGGTCTTCAAGCGGCACATAAGGCATATTTGAATAGTTACTATCGGTCTGTAAGCGACACGTAGGGCAACCCGATCGGGCAGGGAAACAGACTTTTGTATGTTTCGGGCAGTTCTTATAATTCTCAAACGGTCTTTAAGCGGCACATAAGGCATATTTGAATAGTTACTATCGGTCTGTAAGCGACACGTAGGGCAACCCGATCGGGCAGGGAAACAGACTTTTGTATGTTATGGCAGTTCTTGTAGGTCTTCAAGCGGCACGTAGGGAATAAACTTTCATTTTGAATAGTTACTCTCGGTCTGTAAGCGGCACGTAGGGCAACCCGATCGGACAGGGAAACAGATTTTTGTATGTTTGGGGCAGTTCTTATAATTCTTAAACGGTCTTCAAGCGGCACATAAGGCATATTTGAATAGTTACTATCGGTCTGTAAGCGACACGTAGGGCAACCCGATCGGGCAGGGAAACAGACTTTTGTATGTTTCGGGCAGTTCTTATAATTCTCAAACGGTCTTTAAGCGGCACATAAGGCATATTTGAATAGTTACTATCGGTCTGTAAGCGACACGTAGGGCAACCCGATCGGGCAGGGAAACAGACTTTTGTATGTTATGGCAGTTCTTGTAGGTCTTCAAGCGGCACGTAGGGAATAAACTTTCATTTTGAATAGTTACTCTCGGTCTGTAAGCGGCACGTAGGGCAACCCGATCGGACAGGGAAACAGATTTTTGTATGTTTGGGGCAGTTCTTATAATTCTCAAACGGTCTTTAAGCGGCACGTAGGGCGTAAACTTTCCTTTTGAATAGATATGTCGGTCTGTAAGCGGCACGTAGGGCAACCCGATCGGGCAGGGAAACAAATTTTTGTATGTTTGGGGCAGTTCTTGTAGGTCTTCAAGCGGCACGTAGGGAATAAACTTTCATTTTGAATAGTTACTCTCGGTCTGTAAGCAACACGTAGGGCAACCCGATCGGGCAGGGAAACAGACTTTTGTATGTTATGGCAGTTCTTGTAGGTCTTCAAGCGGCACGTAGGGAATAAACTTTCATTTTGAATAGTTACTCTCGGTCTGTAAGCGGCACGTAGGGCAACCCGATCGGACAGGGAAACAGATTTTTGTATGTTTGGGGCAGTTCTTATAATTCTCAAACGGTCTTTAAAGGCAGCGTCCAGGCAGATCTGAACCCATGGGGCTTTTACGTGGAAAGTACTTTTGGGGCCCTAACTAAGGCAGTGCCC